CCTGTGTTTTCTTCTAGGAGTTTTATAGTTTTGGATCTTAGTTTTAGGTCTTTAATTCATTTGGGGTTCATTTTTGCAGATGGTGTAAAGTAAGGGTCCGGCTTTACTCTTTTGCATATGAGTATCCAGTTTTCCCAGCACCATTTGTTGAAAACAGTCTTTTCTCCATTGAGTGTTGTTAGCACCCTTGTTGGAGATTATGTGACTGTATAGGTGAGCATTTATTTGTGGGCCTTGCACCTGTCCTTGATCACTTACTCTTTTCAGTCTCTGTTTTAGAATTTCACTGTGCACCTCAAATTCTTCACACGTTTACTCAACAAACTACCTCACTTCGTCATTGGTAAACTGAGACTGTTGGCAGTGAACCACCAGGCCCTATTCATTCTTCTGTCAGCTGTAAATTTCCTTTTCAAGGTACTGCCCTGACATCTTTTCTTGTTACCCTTTCAGTTTCCTAAGCCCTTATTTCCCCCTTTTCTTTCAGAAAACTGGCTGTTTTCTGAAACAACTGGCTGTTTTTCCTTATCCTGAAAACACATTCGTGCTCTTGTTTGCCCTAAATAACTATCCACATATGTGTCCCATTATTGCCCTATGTCTTCCCTCACTTTGTCAGTCAGACCTTGTGAAAATTATTTAGCAGTATTCGTTCCTTAAGAGAGGAAGTAGTGTAAGATACAAACAAAAGATTTGTGTGTGTGTATGTCTTGTCAACTTTATACTTTTCTGTAATTTTAAATTTTTTTAATCTTCCTGTATGTTTTTATGACTTAAAACATATCTGCTTATTTAACACCTTCTTTGGTGAGGATTAAGAAGTATAGTAGGAGAGAGGGGTTTTAAGTTAAGATGCCATAACATAGATTTATGTGACACTGCAAAGTGACATTCCAAAGCAATGGAGAAAATATGGATTATACAGTAGATGTTGCTTGAACAATTGACATTTTGTTTAATGATCTTTTTGGGTTTAATCATTTATTTTTTAAAAATAGGGTTCTTGGCTTCATTATTTACCAAAACAAGTTTGACTTAAAAGTAATTTTAGAGAAACTGAAAGAAAATACAGATGAGTTTTCAACTCAAATGAAAAAGACCTTTTATACCATATAATCTGAAAAAAAAAAAAAAAAACCCCACCCAGTAAAGATAGTTTTTACTGCATAAAAATTGAAGCTTTATTTCACAAACACATAAACACAGATAAATGACAATTTGGGAAAGCTGCAGAAAGCCCTGAGGGGCTTCTGGGTGGTGCACTTGGTTGGACCCCTGACTCTTGGCTTCAAAAAACCCTCAGATGTCTGTATGGTTAAGAACCCTTAAAAATTAGCAAGAGAATCTTTTCTGTGCCCTTTGAAAGTTGGGAATGGCCATAGTATATTAGTAGAGAATTTATACTCTAAATATTTCAGTGTGAATATTAAAAATTGGTCTTATCAATCAGAGAAATGCCAGGTTGACTTAGTGGTACCTCTTCTGCTTACCAAGTTGGCAGTGATTGAAGAAATGGGAAAAATTAATTAATTTTGAGGAGTATGTACTCTGAGGTATTCAAATGCTGAGTGGAGAAGTAGATTGCTATAAACTGTATGGCTATAAACCATATTGGAATATAAACTATAAACTGTGCTATAATCTCTACTGGCATTATAGTAAATGGTTCAGATATTTAAATATTCTTTGAACTAGTTGTATTCTTTGAACTAGTTATTTAGTTTTTAGAAATTTATTAGGAAATAATGGTACACAAATTTATGTGTATTTCAATAAATAGTGAATATGTAACATCTGCCAGTTAATGTTCCTGGTTCCATGGTGGTGGGCAAACCACAGGGTCTTACTTCAGTGGGGCCTTACAGTTTTTTTTTTTAAGTTATTTATTTATTTATTTATTTGACGCTTAGAGATCACAAGCAGGCAGAGAGGAAGACACGGAGAGGAGGGGAAGCAGGCTGTCTACTCAGCAGAGAGCCTGATGTGGGGCTCGATCCCAGGACCCTAGGATCATGACCCGAGACGAAGGCAGAGGCTTTAACCCATGGAGTCACCAGGCGCCCCAAGCCTTACAGTTTTGAGGGATAGATAGCTATACAAACAAAAATACTTACAAACTGTATAAATTCAGTGAAGGAAATTAACAGGATTTTGTGAGAAATAATGAAGCAAGCATACTTTAGTATGATAGTGGGAGAATGCTATTCAGAACTATCTGAAATACCACTTTGCTGCTGCATTGTCCTGCCTAGTTGTTGGCTTTGACTTAATTGTTCATCAGGCAAACTCATGCAGGCAGTCAGTGTTTGAACTGTGGTTTCTCTTGTACTGAGCAGGATTATTATGGAGACAATCCATTATCAGAGTAAAACCGGCTAGTCTCATGAAGGTCTAAACCCAGCTCATGTGGGGTGAAGATCTAAGTTAAGTAAACCTAGCCATTAGTGAGTGAACAAATCCAGTGATAGGTGAATTCTGCTTCACAAAGATAGGATGAAGTGAAATCAAGGGCCAAAAAGTGAGGTTTCTGAGGACTTGAGTGCCCAAAGTCAGTATGGTAACTTTTCTGACATCTGCTCAAAACTAAAAATCAGAAGGATTGGGAGACCCCACTTTTCTGGGTCTGTATTCCTACTGAAAATGTAGATTTTTTTTTTTTTTTTTCCCTTTTGCTTCCCTGGAATTTTTCTCTACTCACTTGACTTAGAATACTGTGTTACATTTTTAACAGATATACTGGACCCAACCCTGCCTCCCCAAGATGTAGGGGGAGGTGAGAGGGAAGTGTGGGGCATGGGGAGCCTTCCATTTATTCGATACTTAACTGTTTCACTGTGCCAGACTAGAGTCTTGCTTAGTAGGGATTTCTGTTTTGTTTTGGTCAGGTGATTCTCTCAAGCTCATTTCCCCTTAGTTGTGGTTTCACTAGGATAGTGAGAATCTTGTTTGTTCATTCACATGTGTCTCTAGATGATGAGGCATTTGTTTAAGGGAACCATAGTTTCTCTTTCATTTACGTGCATTCATTGAATTTCTCACTCTGATATTGAAAGTGATGGATAGAAATCATATCATATCAATACCGGCTGTTGGCCTGTTTAAAACAGAGCCCCCAGGGCTGCCCCAGTTGTAGAGATGCATTCTGGTTTTTGTCACTGGCTAACCTATAGTATGCAAGGGCCAGGTGAAGTAAAGTCCATGTCATGCTAGCCTTTGGTGAGAAATTTGGGTATTTTCAAAAGCCATAGAAGGATTTTACATTTTAAGCAGAAGCGTAACATGGTTTGTCTTATGTTTGAAATGATACCCCTTTGGTGAATGAATTAGATGGGAGGAAAAATACATAGAGGGAAACAGGAAGGAATTAGCCTTTTCAGAAGTCCTAGAGGGAAATCATAGCAGACTTGGACTTTGGTAATAGCAACAGAGATGTAAAAAAATGGGTGGATTGAGGTAATGTAGAAGGTAGAGCTGACAGATTTTGGTGATGATGTTTTGCACATAAGTTTAGAGCTTAGGAAAAGTGAGAACCAAAGATACATATTTGAGAGTCAGTATACTGTCAGTAGTCATAGGTGAGATTCAGTATTTGACACAGAGGAGATCTGAAAGAGAAGAGGATTTAGGACTGGTTCGTGGGGAAGTCAGTGTAAGGAAGAGCCTGAGAAGGAATGGCCACTAAGGTGGAATTTAAACTAGAGAGCATGGTGTCTTTGAAGTCATTGAGAAGAATATTTTAAGAAGATGAGTGTGATTAAGAGTGTTTTCTGTAGGTTTGATTAAAAAGGAAAAATTGAAACATAGTTAACAGTGGGCAAACAGTCCATCTGCTCTCTAGTCTACCCTAGATAATCACTTCTTCACCTCATTAGGTATCTGATCAAATATCCCCTTAGTAAGACGTTTCCCGACAACTCTTATTTTATAGAACATATGATGCCATTGTGCCCTACCACCATTACCAGCTAAGAAAGAAGAAACACTGCCAACTGAACAGGCAACAGTGTTAGGAGTCCTGTGATTTGTGAGATATATAGTGATTCTAGCTTTGTCGAAATGTGGTGTACTGAAAATAATTGATGAAATACTATAAAATAGCACTCTTTTCTGCTCCTATATAGGTAATGGTTTGCTTGTCACCTCTTCTAAAATGCAGGCCTCTTGAAGACAGAGATTTTTTTGTGTGTCCTACTGGTGCCCCAGTACTTGGTGAATGATAGCAGGCACACAAACAAATCCTAAATCTGCATTTTTAAAGAAATCAAATGAGTAAATGAAAACATACTGCTTTGTAGACTTTTTCCAATTAATATATTGTTTTTTTTCTGTGTCCTTGTATAATTTTCAAAAATTATGTTTGATGGCTGTGTACCCTTATCATGTGTGTATGATAGAATCTGGTGTGTCCCAGGATCTTAAACTTTGGAACTTAGGGAAATAAAAGAGCCAGGGGGTGGACTTGGTTTATTACTGGAAGTATTCAACTTTTATTTCTACCTTTTTAATTCTTTGAGTGTAAAACACTGATCTGTAGAGAGAACAACAAACAGTACCTGGACCGGGGAGTCCTCCATGCTTTAATGGGTTGGAAGTACTTACTTATTTTTCCCCATAAAGACTTGAATATGGCAAGAGAAGTTTTTAGTATACCTTGCTTCCCCTAAGAAAGCAGGTTTCCATCTGTTTAGTTATCTGTAAAGTGAGAGAGTGGCACCACATGTTTTTTCAGCTTTCTTGCTGTTATAAATTCTTAATTTCTGATGTTGTCTTGTCCTGCTGTTCTTAAATTTATTTTTAGTTTTATGATGAGAATTATAAAACATGGAATCATGATTTTTACGATATATGTCCATTTCTGCAGGCAGTTTTTTTTCATACCTTTTAGGTGAACAAGAATCAAGTATGTTAATACTAACCTTACTAGGGCAGATTTTAGTTCTATGAATACTTTACAAAATTTAAAATATGGAAAATTAAAATAACTCTTAATTTTTTTTTAGAAGTCAATGAAAGGATTCTATTTTGCAAAGCTGTACTATGAAGTTAAAGAATATGATCTTGCTAAAAAGTAAGTACCAAACTGTAAACATGCTTTAGTTTTCTAAAGTCATTCCCCACCTCCACCCGGGTATTCTTACTTGAAATGGGTGAAAATAATATGTTTTTTTAGCAGTCTTCCTATGTATGTCCTGGAAATAAGGTATTATATCACTCCAGACTGATACAAAGGACTAGCTTCAATTCCATGGAGATTGAGCCTAGAATGAGTATTTTCTGCATGCATGCCGCTTGTTTATACTTAGGGCAAGAAATCATTAGGCTTAAAACACTTCTAAGGAATAAAAGAGAACCATGCTGTTTTAAATTTCTTCCTGGTTAGATATCTGGTACTTTAATCAGCTGGAAAAATACCAGTGAATACAAAATTAAACTGATTTCTGGACAGGAGAATAGCTTGTGTAAAAGATCTTTGACTCAATAGGTAACAGCCTGAGGCTTTGTCTCATCTCCAAAGGCCAAGAAGTTCGGTGGTCTGGTTTCCTGATTTAGAGTGCGTTAAAGCGGGAAATTAGGAGGGAGGCAAGCAGACAGGTTAAAGACATTTATGGGAAGATGAAAATGCTGATAGGTAAGGAAAATAATAACACCTTTATTTAACTAGCAGCAATGGGACTGTCAACCTTGTTCCTTTTTAATATGACCCTTTTTCCTCCAGTTTTGGTTTTTGGTGTATATATAGATATATTTATTGTTTATGTATATATTTATATATAATATTTATTGAGCCTAGAAGATGCTTATTTTTTAGCTGTTAACTTGATTTAAGAAATGGATATTACGTACGTTTGTTAGTTTATTTAGTAATTTTTCCTCTGCTCTGTTTTAGCTGGGAACAGTACTATTATTAGATATTACTTTCTTGTTTAAAAGGTGAATAGTACAATAAGAAAAGGTAAATATTTACTATAATCTTTTTCTAATTTCTGTGTAAAACTTTTTAGTGCTTTATTGAAATATCGGGGAAAAGCAATTTATGTGTTCATATGTATGGGTAGCATTAGAAAAAACATTTGGTAAATGTAGTAGTTAATGGTAAAATAAGTATATTGTCAATTTTGTATGTATGTGTTTATTCTTTTTATGGATACTTTTGAGTTTTTTGCATATTCTAGTTTAAACAGTGGTAGTCAATAATGAGAATAATAGTGTGGATTAGTTTAGTGTTTGCTTTGGTTTAAGATGTACTCTTCAGGTTGGAATTAAATACAGTTCTGAATGTTATAATTTGAAGATTATTTTTGTATTATTTTTAAACAGATATATAACCGCATATATTAATGTGCAAGAAAGAGATCCCAAAGCTCACAGATTTCTTGGTCTTCTTCATGAAGTGGAGGAAAATATAGACAAAGCTGTTGAATGTTACAAGGTAAAGCATTTAAGATTAAAATATAGCCTTTGCACAGTCACACACATGATACCCAGAGTAATTTGTATAATAAATAATTCAAATATATTTTATGCATGTTATGAAAATAAGCATTGGTATGAAAATAATATTAACACAGATTAGAATAGATCTTAAATTATTTGGCTCAAAGTACACTGTAATTTAATCATTAAGTTAGCACTTGTAAAAGAGGATTAACACCCAGAAATGCTGTTCTTATGAGTGTGGTTTTCTTTCTTTTTTGGGAGCGCTTACCTGATAAAAACATAATTTTTACTTAATTCATCTGCAGAAAATTCCAGTACACTTTAAGTTTGACTTAAACAACTTTGAAATACCATGTTGTCATTGGGAAAAATTTTTAAGGTGGACAGCGATGAATTTTTAACTTTTATATGTGAGCGTAGGTACTTTAGGAATCCTAACTTATTATTTCTTTTCTGCTGTCAGCGTTCGGTGGAATTAAACCCAACACAAAAAGATCTTGTTTTGAAGATTGCAGAATTGCTTTGTAAAAATGATGTTACTGATGGAAGAGCAAAATACTGGGTTGAAAGAGCAGCCAAACTTTTCCCAGGAAGTCCTGCAATTTATAAACTGAAGGTAAAAACAGAACAAAACATAGTAAAAACTGTTGGAGAAAACTAAGACACAGCCATTTCTAATATTTGGAATTTTAAATGACTTTTCAGTAGCAAACCTTAAACCAGTATGTGTGGGAGTTGGTGGGAAATGGGTGAAGGTGGTAAAAAGGTACAGACTTCTGTGTATAAATTCTGGGGATATGTATAGTATAGTGACTATTGTTAACCATACTGTATTGTATATTTGAAAGCTGTGAAGAGAGCAGGTAGATCTTAAAAGTTCTCATCATAAGAAAAATAATTTTTTTTTAAAGATTTTATTTATTTGAGGGTTTCCTGGGTGGCTTGGTGGGTTAAGGCCTCTGCTTTCAGCTTAGGTCAGGTCCTTTGATTAACCTCGCATTGGGCTCTCTGCTCAGGGGGGAGCCTGCTTCCCCCGCTCACCCTGCCTGCCTCTCTGCCTACTTGTGATTTTTGTCAAATAAATAAAATATTAAAAAAAAATAAAGATTTTACTTATTTCAGACAGAGAGAGAGCGCTGACTCACAAGCTGGGGGGAGGGGCAGAGGCAGAGGGACAAGCAGAGTCCTTGCCAAGCAGGGAACCTGACTCAGGGCTTGATCCCAGGACTCTGGGATCATGACCTGAGTTGAAGGCAGCCCCCAGGTACATCCAGAAAAGAATAATTTATAACCACGTGAAGTGATGGTTGTAACCTTATTGTGGAAATCATGTCACTATATACATGCCTTAAATTGTTGTACACCTTAAATAATACAATGTTATATGTTAATTTTATCTATAAGAAATTGCAGAACAAAATTTTTTTCTTCAAAACCTTACCGAGTATATGCTTTATTAGGCACCATTATGTTTTATAAATGGCATCATTTACCCTTATGAAATCATTAATATAGGGATTTTACATTTTTATAGCTAGATGGTAGGGTTAGGATTTAAATTGAGCTCTGTCTGATACAAAATTTTTGCTTCGTTGGGTGAAAGGGATGGCAATTTAGGGTTATTATGCAGGTTTTTAAGAACTGTCATCTAAAAGTAGAAAGAGTCTGGGGTGCCTCGCTGGCTCAGTTGGTAGAGCATGTTACTCTTGATTTTGAGGTTGTGAGTTTGAGTCCCACATTGGGTGTAGAGATTACTTAAAAATAAAATCTTTAAAGAAAAAAATGGAAAGGATTGTGTTAGGGAACAGTGAAGTTTTCAAGCAAAAGTAACAGTTTCTCCAGTATGTTATAGAGAATTACTAAAAATAATAGGAAGTTTTTACTAATGTATTGACCAATGACCAATTCTAATGGTTTTTTTTTACTGAGTAAAATATAGTTTACCTAAGTAACTCTTTTGGAGAAGGTCTTTCCAAATTTGCTAACAGAATTTTAAGTGTGTAGTTGACCGTTGAATGATGTGGGAGCTGGGTGCCACGACTCCCTGTGCAGTTGAAAATAGCCATATAATTTTTCTAAAAGATTTTATTTGACAGAGAGAGATCGCAAGTAGGCAGAGAGGCAGGCAGAGAGGAGGGGTAAGCAGGCTGCCTGCTGAGCAGAGAGCCCTATGCCTGGCTCGATCCCAGGACCCAGAGATCATGATCTAAGCCGAAGGCAGAGGCTTAACCCACTGAGCCACCCAGGTGCCCCTCCATATAATTTTTTTTAAAGATTTTATTTTTTTAGGTAATCTCTACACTGAATGTGGGGCTCAAACTCAAAATCTCAAGATCAAGAGTCACATACTCTGGACTGAGTGCCAGGAGCTCCTGCGTAGACGTTTTGACTCCCCCAAAACTTCATTAATAGTCTACTGTTGACTGGAAGCCTTACTGATAACATGAATAGTCATTTAATCCTTATTTTGTATGCTATTGTATTATATACTGTATTGTTACATTTAAAATGTTAGAGAAAAGAACATGTTAAAATTATGAGGAGAAAAAAATAAAAAAATTATGAGGAGAAAATATATTTAGAGTACTGTATTTGTTGAAAAAAATCCACACGTAAACAGAACTGTACATTTCAAACCTATGTTGTTCAAGGGTCAGCTGTATATTGTTTTTAATGGCTTCCCCACCCTTATTATATATATTTTGTATATGTATATGTATATAGGCATATACATATACATGTTAGAATTTATTTCATTTTACTTTATTTTAGATTTTATTTGAGATAGAGTGAGCATGAATGGGGGGTGAGGGGCAGAGGGAGAGGGACAAGCAGATTCCTGCTAAGTGCAGATCCTGACTTAGGGTTTGATCTCAGGACCCTGAGACCACGACCTGCGCTGAAGTCAAACATTTAACCGACTGAGCCATCCAAGCACCCCAGTAGAATTTATTTTGAAATAATTATATTTTTCACAAGAAGTTGGAAAGATTGTACAGAGAGGTTCTGTGTATCTGTCACCTAGCTTTCCCCAGCTGCTACTTGTTATTTAACTATAGTACAGTATCAAAATCAGGAATTTGACATTGATATAATGTGTATGTAATTTTTCATTTTATCACGTATAGATTGGTGTAACCACCACTGCAATTAAAGTAAAAAGCTGTTTCATCATCGCAGACATCTCCCTCATGCTACCTCTTTTATAGTCCTCCCCACCCCCTTTTTCCCATCATTCCTTTTTTTTTTTTTTCTCCGAAGATTTTATTTATTTATTGGACAGACAGAGATCACAAGTAGGCAGAGAGGCAGGCAGAGAGAGAGAGGGGGCTTCCCCGATGTGGAGAGCCCGATGTGGGGCTCAATCCCAGGACCCTGGGATCATGACCTGAGCCGAAGGCAGAGGCTTAACCCACTGAGCCACCCAGGAGCCCCCTCTTCCCATTATTGTTAACCTCTAGCAACTACTAATTTGTTCTCCATATTTATAATTTTATAATTTCAAAATGTTATATAAGTGGAATCATGCAGTATGTGGCTTTTTGAGGTTAGCTTTTTTTCATTCAGCATAATGCCCCTGAGATCAGTCCAAGTTGGATGTGTCAGTAGTTTGTTCCTTTTATTGCTGAGTAGTATTTTGTGTATGGATGTATTCCACAGTTTAACTATTTACTTTTTTTTTTTTAAGATTTTATTTATTTGACAGACAGAGATTACAAGTAGGCAGAGAGGCAGTCAGAGAGAGGAGGAAGCAGGCTCCCTGCTGAGCAGAGAGCCCGATGTGGGGCTTGATCCCAGGACCCTGGGATCATGACCTGAGAGGCTTTAACCCACTGAGCCACCCAGGCGCCCCTTAACTATTTACTTTTGATGGATATTTTGGTTGTTCCCAGTTTTTTTCCATTATAAATCTCATATGAACAAATGTTCACAGATTTTAAAATCTGAAATATTTTTAAAAACCCTAGAGATAAATACCAGTTACATCAAGTTTTCTTGTTTCTGTAATTAAGCAGCTGGGTTTTAGATATTAATCTAAAATGTCAAGTTTAAGTGTGTAGGTTTCTTTACCTTTGTGTTAGCCTCAAACATAATTTCCTTATTGGCCTTGACAGTCCAATTTATTTGATGACGGTGTTAAGGAACATATATATATATATATTTTTTTTTTTTAAGATTTTATTTATTTATTTGACAGACAGAGATCACAAGTAGGCAGAGAAGCAGGCAGAGAGAGTAGAAGGAAACAGACTCTCCGCTGAGCAGAGAGCCCGATGCGGGGCTCGATCCCAGGACCTGGGCCTGGCCTGAGCCGAAGGCAGAGGCTTTAACCCACTGAGCCACCCAGGCGCCCCAAGGAACATATATATTGATAGGAGTTTATTTTTCTTGTATTGTAAAATAGCTGCTTCTGAAGAATGTTGATTTTCTTTAGTAACTTTATTATTTATTTATTTTTAAAGATTTCACTTATTTATTTGAGAGAGAGAGCATGAGCAGAGGGGGAGTCTCAGAGGGTGGGGAGTAGCCGACTCCCTAATCAGCAGGGAGCCGGATGCCGGGCTGGATCCTGGGACTCAAGGATCACGACCTGAGCTGAAGGCAGAGCTTAACTGACTGAGCCACCCAGGTGTCCCTCTTTAGTAACTTTAAAGACAGTAGTGTTGGGGCACCTGGGTGGCTCGGCAGGTTAAGCCTCTGCCTTCGGCTCTGGTCATGATTTCAGGGTCCTGGGATTGAGCCTCACATTGGGCTCTGTTCAGCAGGGAGCCTGCTTCCCCCCACCTCTGCCTGTCTCTCTGCCTACTTGTGATCTCTCTCTTTCTCTCTCGTTCAAATAAATAAAATCTTTAATAAAGTGTTTAAAAAAAAAAAGACAATGATGTCTAGGGGTGCCTAGCTGGATCATTTGGAGCCTGCAACTCTTGATTCTTGGGGTTGTGAGTTTGAGCCCCATTTTAGGTGTAGAGGTTACTTACATAAAAACTTAAAAAAATACACTGTTGTCTAAAGCTAAACCTTCCTTTTATTAGATCTTCCCCCATTTTTTGAAATTGAAATGCATGAGACTTATAACTATTTAGCAGAGTAATTCTATTTCTCCTAAAATTTAAGGCTTATTTAAGGTAAATATTTTTTTTGGTATTTGTTTTAATGAATGAAATTAGTGAAAGGGCTTTTTCTCTTGCATATAAGAGTTTTTGAAAAGCACCCATGAAGGTGTTGATCTTTTACTTACAAAATTTTTAAAAAAGATTTATTTATTTATTTTAGAGTGAGTGAGTGCATGAGTGGGGTAAGGGCAGAGGAAGAGGAAGAGACTCTCCAGCAGACCCTTTGCTGAGCACGGAGCCTGTCATGGACCTTAATCTCACAACTCTTGAGATCTTGATCTGATCTAAAACCAAGAGTCAGATGCTCAACCAACTGAGCCCCCCAGACACCCCACAAATTTTTAAACTTACACATAAGTGAAGTCTAGGGGTTTTTTGGGAGATCTAGAAAGGCCAAGTGTAAGTTTATGGAACTGATGTGTAAGAAGGAGAGAGATTGGTGAAGGGAGAGGGCAATGAAACAGCATAATGGGGAGCTTGGTCTTTGCTATGTGGAGGGAACAGTGAAAAGGTGAGTACAGTTGGTAAGGTAAAGTGGAATGATGGCTTTAGTTTTCTCAGTGAAGGGTGAATTATAGTCATATGTTGAAAGTGTTGGTTGAAGGAAAGTGGAAAATGTGAAGAAAGTTGAGGAGTATGAAGTAACCTTTTCAGGAATGGAGAATTTGAATCTATTAGAGGTCACATATGATTTTGTTCTAGGCATTACCAGTTTGGAGACTTGAGATTATGAAAGTTAGTCAGTTAGACTGGTTGTGATCTCCCTAGATTCCCAAATGCCCCACCCCCTATTGCTCAACAGTTAATGTATAGATAGGTACAGAGAAAGCAGTTGGTAGGGTTTTTCTAAGGAAAGGTAGAGGGAATTAATTGAGGTGACCTGTAAGCAAGCAGTAATTATGGATATTAAGAATTAGGACATTTTAGCTTGACAGTGAAGGAAAATACGTGTTTTATGGAAAATTAAAACCTGGTGATACCACTGTATTGACAGAAGCTTTCCTTCCATGTGGTAGAGACAAAAATATGTGGCTGCGAGGGCACATGTACCCACAGTGAGGTGAAAGAATAAGAGAGGTATAGTGATATAAATGGTATGACCAAAATACAGATTTTGAAGACCCAACTCAGTGCTAAATGGATGGCTGACACTGGAGTATAGAGCAAAACCATGAAGATACGGTAATTAATGAACTGAGTAGCCAGGCTATTTTTGTATCTATTCCAGTTGTATTAGCTAGTGAGGACTGTTAGGAATGGAGTATTTCCAGTTGCTCATGAGGAGGAGTGAATGGAAGAGCTGGATAGCATGTCCTTTGGAAGACAGGATTATAAGAGGTGTGTGTAGGGGGAGATGATTTGGAGGTGAGCAATTTACTAAACCCACTTCCTCTACTTGTATATAGGCTAGCAGAGAAAAGGCCACCATGGCAGGGAAGTAATGGGGGTTATCTTGAGATAATACTCCATTTAGTAAAGGCTAGATGGTGAAGACTCTGAGAAGATAGCAAAACAGGAGAAGCTTTACAGTGGGAGCAGAGGAGGTAGGGGATTGAGTCAGATTTAGGGAGGTGCAGAACAGTTTGGAGATAAGGACTGTGGTTATGAGGGTTGACTGGGGAGGCTAGGCTTGGGGTGGTGGCTGGGGTGTACAGGGATGTGGGGCAATAGTCCTTGCAGTCTGTGAGGTGTATATGGGCAGCTGTTGCTACTATGTCATCTCAGATGTTTCTCTCCACATAAATTTCTTGAGGTTTAGTTTCTGGGCTAGGAGCTGCTCTCTCCCATGAGATTTGGGTTATATAGGATGGTACTTCTGGTGATAATTTACTAAAGCTAGACATGGTGGAATTGTGCTCATAGGAACCATGATGTGCTTAAACTTGGACTGGTCTTTCTCTAAATTAATGATGCTCTTTCAATAGGAACAGCTTTTAGATTGCAGAGGTGAAGATGGATGGAATAAACTTTTTGACTTGATTCAGTCAGAACTTTATGCAAGACCTGATGATGTCTATGTGAACATCAGACTAGTAGAACTGTATCGCTCAAATAAAAGATTGAAGGATGCTGTGGGCCACTGCCATGAGGCAGAGAAAAACATAGCTCTGCGTTCAAGTTTAGAATGGAATTCATGTGTTGTACAGACCCTTAAGGTAGGTAAAAACATTTGGGTCTCTACACTTCTATGCAGACAGTTAATATATATCACTTTGTATTTAAGCACTGATCTCTAAAACTTAAATTTCTTTCATTTGTGTATAGCAGCTGTGAAATGAACCTTTTACTAGGATGTTTTCAACTTTATGATGGGTAGATTAGAGAGATAAATAGAATTAAGGTATGTATTTTTGGTGTTTTCATAGGCTGATGAAAAATTAATCTAGTTTTACAAGTATAGGGATAGGCAAAGGAGTTTATAGGCATAAAACTAATTTGGTAGTGCTTGGTAAAGTTTTATAATTGAGTGTTTTTTCTACAAAATAGGAATATCTGGAATCTTTACAGTGTTTGGAGTCTGATAAAAGTAACTGGCAAACTACTAATAAAGATTTACTTCTGGCCTATGCTAACCTTATGCATCTTACGCTCTCCACTAGAGATGTGCAAGAAAGTAGAGAATTATTGGAAAGGTATGTTGACTTAAGGAAAGTACTTCAGTGTCAATCATAGATTTTCTTTTTGTAGTGATTCAGTTCATCAGTGTAAACATCTTTACTGCATTGCTATTTCTGTAACATACCCAGGGGTAATAGTTAATACAATAAACCACTTGGAATCTTATTTCTTCTGTGGGGATATTATAATTGGTTTTATATGACTTTGATTTTTAGAAAACTGTGTTATCGTTCAGACTTGATTAAATTATTATACTTACATATCCAATTTTGGCATGCTTAATAAAGAGTCAGTCCTGAAAATGTTCTAACTGCTGTTTCATATTTTATTTCAAAAACGATATAATCTTGTGTGAAAATCAAAATAGACTTCCATCTGTCAGATGTTGTAGTAGAAGCAGTTAGCATCACTAGTATTTCAGAGAACTCTTGCTGTTTTAGCTTAGAAACAAGATAACTAAAATATAATGTATGATTTTTCTGTTTTCCTACATTTTGATTTTGATCAAATGTGATTTAATAAAATGGAGATATGGAAGACCATATCTCCACTTTATTAAAATAAATTTCATTGAACAAAAACATCACTCGGATTTGTATAACAGTGTTAGTTTAGAGCAGGGGTTGACTAGCTCTTGTAGGCCAAATATGGCTCATTGCCCGATTTTGTAAACACACTTTTATTGGAACACAGCTGTGCCTCTTGTTATGTATTATCTTTAGCAGCTCATATACTATGATGGTGGAGTTGAGTAGCTGTCACAGATTGTATGCCTGCATAGCCAGATTAGTATGTGGCCCTATAGAAATAGTTTGTCAGTCCCTGGTTTGGACTGTCCATTTGTTTGAAAAGTAATTCTTGTTCTCCATCTGATGTTAGGGGATAGGATAGTTTTCTTGAAGAATTTTCTTAAGTGTCCTATGATGGTAAGGTAAGGGTAGTATTTAGAAGAATTTTAACTTTCAGATTATTTTAGAAAATATTTAGGATATTTTCTTTTGTATAACTTACATATGCAAACATTTTTGGTTACCTGAGCAAGTGAGGGTGGAAAAGGCAATTTCTTAGGAGTACTATAAAAGTAACTTAAACTTCATGGATACCCTGAAGGGGTCTTGAGAAACTCTAGGAGTTCCTGGAACCCACCCCCTATAAACCTACTTAGAAATCATGCTTCCCATTTCTACTAAATGTTGCTTTTCTTCAAAATGAAGATTCTTGAGTTCCATTTGGATTTAGAAGTATTAATTAGTACATTTACAAATAATAGGAATACAATTTAGGCCTGTAGTTATCTATATAGTAAGAAGAGCAGTTATGTTATTGATAACTTTAATATCTTATCAGTTATTTACTTATAATTTGAAAATGACTTTTCTAATTGGAGAAATTCCAACTTCGAATTAAATAATGAAACCATGTGATCAAGAAGAAACTGGAAAATATTTTAGTTTTCCAGTTTTATTGTGGTCAGTTATGAAGAATTCACCATAGTCCGTAATCTTGTCATTTGATGTGTATCTTTTTTGTGATTGTGAAGAGCCTGAAATAACTGGAATAAGACCTTCTAGAGGTTAAGCTTGAAGTATAAGAAGCATGTGGAATAAAAATAAACACTAGTTGATTCATAATTTATGAAGCAGAGAATAAGGATTATTAGTTTGAATGTGGAAGATGAAGTTTGGAGTAAATTCCTTTGTTTTAATTAACTCATTGTTTGCAATGCAATAGGTTTAATACCTGTTTAATAATTCAATATTGCAGTTTTGATAGTGCTCTTCAGTCTGTGAAATCTTATGTGGGTGGAAATGATGAACTCTCAACTACCTTCTTAGAAGTAAAAGGACATTTCTACATGCATGCTGGTTCTCTGCTTCTGAAGATGGGTCAGCATAGTGAAGTGCAATGGCGAGCTCTCTCTGAGCTGGCTACATTGTGCTATCTCATAGCATTTCAGGTAAGCTTTTTCTGGTTTTGGGTGTTGTTGGCATTTCACTGAGATTGTTGTATTTTGCATGTAGGTGTGTCCTGATATATATTAAAAATATGAATAAATCTGTAGAATTGAAGTCAAAATGAAATAGTTAACTCAATAGCTGAAAAATAACAAGATTTATACAGTATTGGTGAGGTGAAATAGATAATGTTGATGCATTGTTGGTGGCAGTCTGTATTGCTATGACTTAGTAACTGGAAGACCGCTTTGAAGACTTTGATCTTTTTTACTCTGCTATTTCTGGAAATCTGTAATAAGATGATCTCAAATATGGGTAAAATTTGATTCAAAAATATGGACATGCATAACTTGGACAGAAACCTAGTAAGTAAATTTTGTGAGATGGTTATGTAAGCTGTGATAGAAGAATGTGTTTACCATATGCATTTATTTTTTTATTTTTTTTTTAAGATTTTTAAAAATTTATTTGACAGAGATCACAAGTAGGCAGAGAGGCAGGCAGAGAGAGGAGGAAGCAGGCTCCCTGCTGAGAAGAGAGCCTGATGCAGGGCTCAATCCCAGGACCCTGGGATCATGACCTGAGCTGAAGGCAGAGGCCTAACCCACTGAGCCACCCCGGTGCCCCTACCATAAGCATTTTATCATGTTAATTGAAAGATGTATGTATGTTAATATTTATATAACATTAATAACATATATAATAGTTTATTTATCTTTGAAAACATAATTCTATTCTTTATACAAAGAACATGACCTGAAGGAAATATGCCAAAATGTGAACCATTATTTTGAGATGATGAGATGCTTGGCTATTATCCCTTCCCAATCCATTTTTGTAGTTTTTTTTTTTTGTTTTCTTTAAACAGCTTGCTTTAATTCTGAAATGAGAAGAAATAAAAGTCTGCCAGTACCCTGGCTTATAAAAATTATTGGTAGTTTTAGAGAACTGTCTTTTGATTGAGGGAAAGAAAAAAGGATTCACTGTAGAATTACTTTTAGGGAAGGCTCCTCCTTCTAGTTCATATGATACTGAATTTTTAAAAAACCCTTGACATTCAGCTCACAATGTTAAGTGTTCTTATTTGCTCAGCAGAAGCATTTAGGTTCATGAAGAATATATGTATTAGTGAAAATTAGGAAAGTTAATGAAGTTTGCTAATTTATGTAGGTACTAAAAGGTTACTATTAATATTTTAAAGAATCTTCAAGTAGGTGACAGTTATTTTTTTTTTTTTTTTTTTTTTTTTTAAGATTTTTATTCATTTATTTGACAGAGAGAGATCACAAGCAGGCAGAGAGGCAGGCAGAGAGAGAGGAGGAAGCAGGCTCCCTGCCGAGCAGAGAGCCCGATGCGGGGCTCGATCCCAGGACCCTGAGATCATGACCTGAGCCGAAGGCAGTGGCTTAACCCACTGAGCCACCCAGGCGCCCCGGTGACAGTTATTTTTAATGGAAACTGGAATCTTAAATTTTTTAAATATATATGATTTTTAAAGTTAATACAGTCAACTATTTTAAACTTTGACTCCTTTTAATAGTAAAAACTTAATTTCCTTCCTCAACCATTCACTCATACCTTTTTTTTTTTTTTTTTGCGCCGAAACCCGGGAACGCACTCATACCTTTTCTATAAGATAATGACTGCTACCAGTTTTTTTACTATTTAGAAGTTTTTCTGCATATGCAAGCATAAAACACACCCTTTCTTTACTTTAAAAAAAAACTCTTTTGCCTCAGTAGAGGTATGCTTTATCTGCCGTTTAATATCATTTCAGCACATAAACATCTACCTCACTCTCTCTCTCTCTCTCACCTAACCACACATTTCCATTGAATGGTTAAATAATGGAAACCTCCTTGATGCTTGAGTTTTATATCATCATGTTTTTGTAATTATCAAATGGTTATAAGCTTACAGGGGAAGCATGGACTGGCACAGAGGTCCTAAAAAAACCACATTAGGCCAGCTTCTCTAATGGTAGAATTTTAAGACTCTTGATCAAGGGAATGCTGTGGTATTAGTCTATTTGCATTTCAGCTAGGCATTAAAACAAAGTCTGTCTTGAAACCATTTAATTCTGATGAGGAAGAGTGGAGTCCTTTTGCACTCTTGGCTGTCCCACTTTATCCCAGGGGTATCCCGCATTAACCATACTCTTTGAAAATGTGCTGTCTACAGTGTGGCATTTGAAGGTGCTTTTATAGTAAAAAGTAATTTCTCAGAAGTTAGTTTTTGTAGGCATCTTTTACATATTATGTAAATTCCTCGATTCCCAGTTTTTTCCACTTGGAATAGCGCAGCTCCAGCTAGGTTTAACCATTGGCTAACTGTTCGTCATCAAAAAAGCACAACGTAATAGAAAGGGACATCTTACTATTAGATATATGGGTATCACTAAATTAAGACCTTTGATTCTAAAATTATCAGGTTCCAAGACCAAAGATTAAGTTAATAAAAGGAGAAGTTGGACAAAATCTGGTGGAAATGATGGCCTCTGATCGTCTAAGCCAATCAGGTAATAGTAATGTTTAATTTTATTTTAAAAAGAAAAAGGAAAATTTCTCTGTTAGAGCATTTATGATAATCTGTCTGTTTAGGAGATAATTTGTCATAATCACTTATTTCTCTTTACCATATTGGGTGAGGGCAAGAGATAAAGATAGAATTAGAAGAAATTTCTCCTTCAGAAGGTAACAAATGTTTGATACTTTTTGCTCCTGGATGGAGAGAAACTCTTTAACCCCTCCTTTATCTGGCTGCTAGAGCCTCCTTCTGAATATTTTAAAGCACTTCCTGAACTAAGACTAATTAACTGATTTGCCAGCCATTTAGCATTGGTAATTTATAAGATACTGCTATGGGGGATATAAAGGTGAAGAAGTCATGGATCCCTTAAGAAACTGATGACAAGTAAAGAAGATGGAAGATATATACTTAATTATTGTTAGGCTTTTGGAATTTGTAAATTTATTCCTGGTTTTGATTATTTGAGATGGATTCTAAAGGTCTATTCCATATTATCTGGTTTTGCTAAAGCAGACACTTCTCTCAGGATGTTTGTGTAGCTAGCGAATCAAGCAGTGAACTGAAGAAACATAATGCTTAATGTAAGAAGCAGTTTTAATATAAAATTAAATGAACTTCGTGTTGATCAAGTAGTAGTATTAAAGTTACTCTAAGCTTTGTCTATGGTTAGGTTACTGGTCAAAGCATATATTGCTCCTCTATCCCACAGCTTGGTTTTTTGTAGGAGGTGGACTTCCAGTCCTTGAAGAAATGACTGCATTTTTTTTTTTTTAAATATCTGTCATCTATCTTTGCAAGACTGACATAGATATTTTTGCAGTGTCAGTTAGTAAAGTGAGCTGTGTTTTAATGTCTTTGATCTGCATGTTCCCAAACTTGTCTGTAAATTTTCGGAGCGCTAAGTCTGATCTGACAAGCAGAATTATTCCAAAGAGTGGTGTTTTTTGTTGTTGTTGTTGTTGTTTTTTTATCTTAAACAGCTTAATTGAGATGAAATTCACATTGTATATAATTTATATGAATGTACAACTCTTTTAGTGTGTTCATGTAATTGTGCAACCATCAGTGCAATCTATTTTAGAACATTTTCATCACCTCTTAATGAAACCTCATAACCATTAGCAGTCACTCCCCATTTTCCCCCAAACCCTCTAGTCATAGGCCACCACTAATATTCTATCTCTTTAGATTTCTTTATTCTGGACATTTTATATAAATTGAATTACACGACACGTGCATAGGGTTTTCGAGGTTCCGCCATGTTCTAGCATATACTAAAACTTCATCCAAGGGAGTTTTTTAAAAATAGATTCCTCACCCCTCACCTGTGGAATCAATCTCTAGGAAGTGTAGCCTGGAAATAATTACCTTTTTTTTTTTTTAAGTTTTTATTTATTTATTTGACAGACAGAGATCACAAGTAGGCAGAGAGGCAGGCAGAGAGAGAGGGGGAAGCATGCTGCCTGCTGAGCAGAGAGCCCGATGTGGGGCTCGATCCCAGGACTCTGGGATCATGACCCGAGCTGAAGGCAGAGGCTTTCACCCACTGAGCTACCCAGGTGCCCCTGGAAATCATTACTCTTTAAAAGCTTTTTCAAGGATGATTCTTAGCAGCTACGTTTGAAAATCAGTGTATCAGATCAGAGAATTTGAGCTTGGCTCTACTCTCCTACGGCCACTTAAATGATACACTTTCCATCTAAAATGTAAATACTTTAAGTACTTTTGGCATTTTTCAGACATACTCTAGTCTCCTTCTTTTCACTCTAGCAGGTAGATAAAGATAACTGTTAAACCTGTAATCTGTGTTCATTTTTTGCATAAGCACCCTTTTTGTTCAGTTGTAGTTGCTGGGTTGGAGGGTTAGCTCTGAGATAATCATGTTTTTTTTTCCGTGGGGTATATTAATGAAACTGTTGAGAGATGTGAGTAAAAATAATCTGTTTTTTAAATAATGGACATAATTTGTTTTTCAGGACACATGCTGCTAAACTTAAGTCGTGACAAGCAAGATTTTTTAAAAGAGGTTGTAGAATCCTTTGCCAATAAAAGTGGGCAGTCTGCATTGTATGATGCTCTGTTTTCTAGTCAGTCACCTAAGGATAGATCTTTTCTTGGTAATGATGATATTGGAAACATTGATGTACGAGCGCCAGAGCCTGATGATTTGGCTAGATATGATGTTGGTAAGTTGTATCTTCTAAAGTAAACATTTTGTATCTCAGTCCTTTTATTTTAGGAGAATAAAAGCAAAAGGAGAAATAATCTCATAATCTTACTACCCAGAAATAATGACTTACTATTTCCCTGTATTCCTTGAGGTATTTTTGGGTGGGAGGGTAGGATGGTGTGAGGGGGTTGGTAGTGGTAGTGATGAAATGTTATTCTTCTAAATAGTTGTTTATACTGTGCATGTGATTGTCTTCTATCATGAATTCTTTCCCTGTTTATCTGTTTCTATAAATAACTACTTTATTGGCAATATAATTTGTTATATGAATTAGCCATAATATGCTTGTCACTTTTTACTGTTTGAGTTCTAAGATGTTTTCAGTTTTTTCACTGTAAAAAATACAGTGAAATTTCAGATTTTTCCATAGAGTTTTCTAAAACCAGAATTATTGGAGTAAAGTTGATGAGCACCTTTAAGTCTCTTGCAAATTGCCATGTTGCCAGAAAGGTTGTACCTCTTTACGCTTCTAAAAGCCCATAACTTTTTCGGTATTAAGTTTCTTGTGGGAAAAAAAGATCTCTTTATTACCCCAAGGGATTAATGTTGTGGGATCCCATTGTTTTAATGACTCTACTGAAAATCCATTGTTTCAGGATTTCATACTGTGTGGCTTCTGTCGCTACTGTGTTCTGTTGAGTTCTAGTGAGTACCTTTTTTTCTTAGATGGACTTGAAAGGAGCTTGTTTTTAAAATTCCTAAATATGAAGTGTGACTGCCTTTAGTAGGAACATGAGACTTTGGTTAGCATAGAATTTGACCCAGCTTTGATACAGAAAAGCAGTTATAAAATTAAGATGCATTTATTGTGAGTAATTGGCAATACTGATGGCACAAGCAAGATTCCCAAAACCTCAAGCCAGTTTTTCCTCTTTATTTCAGGTGCCACTCGAGCACATAATGGTAGTCTTCAGCACCTTACCTGGCTTGGCTTACAATGGAATTCGTTGTCTGCCTTACCTGCAGTTCGGAAATGGCTAAAGCAGCTGTTTCATCATTTGCCCCAGGAGACCTCAAGACTTGAAACAAATGCACCCGAATCAATATGTATTTTAGATCTTGAAGTAAGCAAAGACTTTAACAAATTAAATTTTTGAATTTTGTTTAATTTTTTTCTAACCTAAATTGATTTTCTTTAAACAAAACAGGTATTTCTACTTGGAGTAATATATACCAGCCACTTACAATTAAAGGAGAAATGTAGTTCTCACTGTAGCTTCTATCAGCCACTATGCTTGCCACTTCCTGTTTGTAAACAGCTTTGTACAGAAAGACAAAAATCTTGGTGGGATGCAGTTTGTAATCTAATTCACAGAAAAACAATGTAAGTAGTAAAATAAAAACATTTCTTTCATTTACAGCCTAAGTTTTTAACTTAAAAACCTATTTAAAAACTTAATGCCTAGGTATCTAATTCTCACGTGAAGATTGAGTTTAATTTTCATGTGATTAACACACATGTAAGTTTTGAACTGTGTTTATAAATCAGTTTTATTAAACTTTTTTTTAGACCTGGAACCACAGCAAAATTGAGACTTCTAGTTCAGCATGACATAAACACACTAAGGGGCCAGGAAAAGCATGGCCTTCAGCCTGCCCTGCTTGTGCATTGGGCAAAATGCCTCCAGAAAACGGTGAGTTCACTGAAGTGTAAGAATTTTTAAGAACATTATCTGGTTTTTAAAAATCAGACTTTTCACTGAATCTTAAATTCAGTTCAAAGAAATAGTATCAGCTTATTCACATTTTGCCAGGTGAAATGTATTTTTTTAAATCTTGCCACAAAATGGTTAATATCCAATATATAAACACTTAGAATAGTGCCTGGCACAGTAAACATGACATAAATATTAGCTGTTATTATTACTTAATAATTAAGTTATAATAATTATTATCCAGCCTCAAAATTTTTTTTTACCTGTTGGTAACAGAAGGCCTTGTAGGTTAAGGGTGTTACAGATCTTTATAAATATTTGAGGTCTGTTCTTTGGTGAGGTTAGGTGTGGATGTTTATTAACTCTGTGACCAAACTGTGACACTCTGACAAGTTTGGGCTATGTAAAATGGCAACTTTTAAAAAACAGATGGGGTTGCCTCATTAGGTAGTATCATTGAAAGTGTTTAAAGGTTGGGTCTGGAATGATCACTGGTATTATGGTGGTTGTTTATTCCAACATTTGGAAAGTGAGTTCTGTGACTTTTGAGATTCTGTTTTGCCTTGATTTGAAATTTTAATCAGTTCAGACCATTTATAAAGGAATTTTTAGATTCTGTTATTTATGTTCCTTAGGTTGTGTGCTTCTAACTTTCTATTTTAGGGCAGCGGTCTTAATTCTTTTTATGATCAACGGGAATACATAGGCAGAAGTGTTCATTATTGGAAAAAAGTTTTGCCAATGTTGAAGACAATCAAAAAGAAGAGCAGTATTCCTGAACCTACGGACCCTCTGTTTAAACATTTTCATAGTGCAGACATTCAGGTAATGGAGGATCCCTTTGTGAATGAACTGGAGATATGGATTTCCAGTTTATAAACAAAGAAATAGAGGTATAAACTGCTTAAATCAATTGCTGGCTCTTTGATTCTTGTCTTGTTCTCAAAGTCTACTAGCTGTCACAAACATGGCAGAAAAGAAGGCTGAGCTGTTAATTAGGTCCTGTAAAATCTTTGGGAAATCACTTGGGTTTGATATTCTGGGGGGAGAGGCAGCTGGACTAAAAATTACTAAATGTGTTTAGGCATCTGAAGTTGGTGAATACGAGGAAGAAGCACACATAACATTTGCTATATTGGATGTAGTTAATGGAAATATAGAAGATGCTATGACTGCTTTTGAATCTATAAAAAACGTTGTTTCTTACTGGAATCTTGCACTGGTAAGTAGATGTTGGTATGTGAATTAATAGTGTTTTTTTTGTTTGTTTGTTTTAAAAACCTAATTGTTTTCATGAAAGCATTCTTTGCTTAGATTTTTCACAGAAAAGCAGAAGACATTGAAAATGATGCCCTTTCTCCTGAAGAACAAGAAGAGTGCAAAAATTGCCTGAGAAAGGCCAGGGACTACCTGATAAAGATTTTAGATGACAGTGATTCCAATCTTTCAGTCGCCAAGAAGGTAAGCTGCAGGCTCTTTGTACTTTCTTACTATTGCTGAATGGATGGTAAGTAGTTTTACTTTGGTTTTATATTTTGATAATTTCAAAAGTAGTAATATTTATTTTTAGTGCACAGAAATGGTGTGTAAATATTAGCATTGCTTTTGTGTCTTAGGTTTGATATTTCTTAAACTTGGATATCTAACTTTTTGTTCTATAAAAATACTTGATAGGGAATTTAAAAAGGTTTCTAATTTTTGTTATCTTGGCAGTGTAATGAAAGCAGATATTGCAGCCTAAAGACTAGTTATTAATTAATTTGGCAGTTAAACATTTCACTGAAATTGAAAGTAGTTGCTGACACCTTCAGAGCATTTCTTCTCATCTTTTCCATTTGCTATGGATTATCTTTTTTCTGTCAGCAGTTTGAGACTGTCGTGCTGGTATTAAATTCATTTGTGTTCAACCTTCCAAGTATTTTGTTGATTAATTCATGCTGCTGCTCTTACGTTAAGATTGATATTGTCTGTCTTATCTCTTACATAAGATTGATATTGATACTGTCTTTCTAGCGTCTGTGTTTCTCTCTCCACTCAAAATTAATAAAAATAAGTAGCTTATTTTGTTCATGTGGAAAAACTTCCCAAGTTAACATTCCTCTACCATTATTATGGTTAACAGAAGAGATAGACTTTAGAGTCAGAAGACTTTAGATTACACAACGGTTTCATGTGTGTTCCTATGTTAAGTATAAAGTGCTTATTACACAAAAGTGAACATAAAAGCAAATTAGTAAGATAAAGTTTTTGTATTTATTTCAGAGTTGCTAGTTTATTTTTGCAAACTAAAGCCTTTGATTTGGTGCCCTTTTTTTTTTTAGTTGCCTGTGCCAGTGGAGTCTGTAAAAGAGATGCTTAACTCGGTCATGCAGGAACTTGATGACTATAGTGAAGGAGGTCCTTTTTATAAAAATGGTTCTTTGCGAAATGCAGATTCAGAAATAAAACATTCTACACCATCTCCCAGCATATATTCTCTATCACCAAATAAAAGTTACAAGGTAAGTAGAAAGAAATGAATCACTTCATTGCCGAATGTTTCTGTTCTAAATGTTTTAAATACTTTCTTATTATTTTTTTAGTATTCTCCCAAAACACCACCTCGATGGGCAGAAGATCAAAATTCTTTATTGAAAATGATCTGCCAACAAGTAGAGGCCATTAAGGTAAATCACTTAATATCTCTAAACTGTGCTTCTCTTAGGCCAAGATTTCTTCCTTGACCACTCCCTCACTTCCTTGTAAAACTGTCCAAAATGTCCCTTTGCTGTGCTACTAGAGTCATACTATTTTGTATAGTTTACCTTGACACTTAACCATATTATTTTTCTCATTTTTTAATTTTAGTTTTTTAAACTTTAATTCCAGTGTAGTTAACATAGCGTTAACATTAGTTTCAGGTTACAGTATAGTCACAGTATAGTGACTCAGCAGTTCTGTATGTTGCTTGGTGCTTATGTAGATAAATGTATTCTTTTTAATTTTTTTTCCAGTTTTTTAATTTAAATTCAATTAAGTTAACATATATTATTAGTTTTAGGGGTAGAATTTAGTGATTTATCAGTTGCATATAACACCCAGTGCTCATCTTATATCAAGTGCCCTCCTTAAGGTCCATCACTCAGTTATCCCTTCCCTCGACCCATCTCCCCTCCAGCAACCCTCAGTTTGTTCCCTGTAGTTAAGAATCTCTTAGTTTGCTTCCCTCTCTGTTTTTATCTTATTTTTTCCTTTCTTTCCCCTGTATTCATCTGTTTTGTTTCTTAAATTCCACCTGTGAGTGAAATCATATGGTATTTGTCTTTGACTGACTTATTTCGTTAGCATAATACCCTCTGGTTCCATCCATATCATTGTACATGGCAAGATTTCATTCTTTTTGATGGCTGAGTAATATTTATATATGTATACACACACACACACACACACACACACACATACATACACACACACACCACATCGTCTTTATCCATTCATCTCTTGATGGACATGGGCTCTTTCCATAGTTTGACTATTGTGGACATTGTTGCTATAAACATTGGGGTACATGTGTTCCTTTGAATCATTATGTTTGTATCCTTTGGATAAATACCTAGTAGTGCGGTTGCTCGGTTGTAGAGTAGATCTATTTTTAACTTTTTGAGGCACCTCCATACTGTTTTCCAGAGTAGCTGGCTATACCAGTTTGCATTCCCATCAAGATAAATGTATTCCTAATACCCATCACCTATTTCATCCATTCCTTCACCCACTACCCCTCTGATAGCCATCTCTCTGTTCTCTATAGTTGAGTCTGGTTTTTTCGGTTTGTTTCTTTCTCCCACCCTTACTTTGTTTTTTTAAATTCCACATACAAGTGAAGTCGTGTAGTATTTATCTTTCTCTGGCTTATTTCTCTTAGCATTATATTCTCTAGATCCATCCCCATTATTGCAAACGGTGGGATTTCATTCTTTCTGTGACTGATTAATACTCCATTGTGTATTTATATACCACATCTTTTTCAATCCATTCATCTATCATTGGACACTTGTGTTGCTTCCATATCTTGGATGTTGTAAGTAGTGCTGCAATAAACATATATCTCTTCGAATTAGTGTTTCCAGATTCTTTGGGTAAATACCCAGTAGTGTGATTACTGGTAGTTCTTTTTTTAATTTTTTGAGCAACCTCCAAACTGTGTTCCACAGTGGCTGCACCAGTTTGCATTTGCACCAACAGTGTGCGAAGATTCCTTTTTCTCCACATCCTTGCCAACACTTAATTGTTTCTTATGTTTTTGATTTCAGCCATTCTGACAGGTGTGAGGTGATATATCATTGTGGTTTTGAATTGCATTTCTGTGATGTTAAGCATCTTTTCATGTGTCCTTAGGCCTTAACCATATTTTTGAAATTACTTGTTTCTGCTTCCTCCACCAGGTGTGAATCCTTCAAAGGGAAAGACTCTTTAATCCAAAACATAGCAGCATTCCTGACATAGAGGTGGTTCCCAAGTGACTGAATTGAACTAGTGAAATAAACTAATTATACGTTGGTCTAGGAGTTCATTTCTCAAACTGATTGGTGTTGTGTGTCATATTTTATAGCTAGGTGTTGATATGTAGTTTCCTATCTTTTTGGTACCTTTATAAGAATTTGACTTAATCATGTAAGAAAATGGTTATGTCTTCATGATTTTATAAATTAGCTGTATGAAAGTCATCTTAACTCTTAGGCTCAAAGGAGCTTTATTTCCTTCTTTGGAATTGGGAGTACATGTAGGTTGTTTCAAGCTTGTTGGGCAAGAACTAAAGCACTTATATGTTTGAAGTTATTTTGAAGGATATTGTGATGTGTGTGCAGTTATTACAGTGTTATCAGCAATGTGTAAGAAGTGCTGTTTGGAGGGGAACAAAATTTTGAATTTGTGCAAAGATATTGTTTATGTAATCCTGGCCTATTATGATATTACATACCATCTTGGCTTACCTTATAGGTTTAGGCACCTAGCGTTGTATTCTGTGGAAGTATAGTGGAACATTATGTTCCTGAAAAGCTGAGGTTTAGTACTAACTCTGCTACTAATTAATGCTCTTGAGCCAGGGGATTCTTTTCTTTTTGCTTGGCTTCTCATCTGAAATGTGGGAATTATTGAAACCAGTTCTCAGCACATTTTCTAGTTGTTTTTAATTTTAAAATTATGATTATAGCATTAATTGCATGTTCAAAACTGTAGTGACTACGACATTTTTCCAGGTGATTCCATCAGTTTCTTATTTTTTTTTGGATGTGTAGCTTCTGGGCTAAATACAGTAGATGGACGAATAGGGAAAATCCATTTAATTTGAAAATTCAAGGTATCTTTGTCCTCCATATTTATGGCTTTTAGGAAATATCTATTTGGAAGCACTGTTAGAAGAAGAAAGTAAGACATGCTGTGTCTGTGACCTCACTTAGAGCTGGTTGGATACCTAGACCAACATACAGATATTTGATACTATTTTAAAAAATGACTGCTAATTGATACCACTGTAGTTTCTTTGGAAAAAGAAATAGTTTCTTGATAAGTGCATATTTTGTAAGGGGCATTTTATAGTTTCTGTGGGTGGGGAGGGTGTTGTCATTTAGTTGTCTGTAAAACAAATAGAGATCTGGTAATTAGCCACATAGTTACCATTAGAAAGCAGTATGTCTTCTGTCCATGTAGGCAGCAGAGTGGTATTAAGAAAACATATTTGGGGTAAAATCTGGTTTGAATTCCAGCTGTGCTATTTTCTTCATCTTTTATTTTTCTCAAGATGTGAGTTAATATTGCTTATTTGTGTAAGGATTAAGAATTTAAGTAAAATACCTGGACTCTATTATTTTTTTTTTTTAAAGATTTTATTTATTTATTTGACAGAGAGATCACAGGCAGGCAAAGAGGCAGGCAGAGAGAGAGGAGGAAGCCGGCTCCCTGCTGAGCAGAGAGCCCGATGCGGGGCTCGATCCCAGGACTCCGAGATCACGACCTGAGCCAAAGGCAGCGGCTTAACCCACTGAGCCACCCAGGCGCCCCCTTGGACTCTATTATTATATACATAATATATTCTGAGCAGATACCAGTTATTTTCTTTCCCTTTCCTAGTGGATCATTAGAGCATCAGCCTTGAAAGATTTGTAGTGTTTTGTTACATCATTTGTGTGTAGGTTGAAAGCTAATATTGGGAGGTAGTTTAGAACATTGAGTAGCCTAGATGGACTGGAAGGGAAAGCAGTGTGGAAAGGAGGTTCTGGAAGGGTGTTTGGAGCAATACTTCTGAGGACCAAAAATATCAGAGAAGTTGAATTTGTAGGTTCTTGTGTTTTTGAACAGGGAAGTGTCTTGTCTAGAGCTCAACTTTAGGGGCACCTGAGTGGCTTAGTTGGTTAAACGTCTGCTCTTGGCTCAGGTCAGAATCCTAGTGTCCTAGGATCGAGGCCCCCATTGAGCTTCCTGCTCAGTGAGGAGTCTGCTTCTCCCTCTTCCTCTGCCCCTCTTCCTACTTGTGCTGTCTCTTGTTCCCCTGCCCTCTCAGATAAGTAAATAAATAAATAAAATCTTAAAAAAACAAAACCCTCAACTTTGGAAAGATTAATTTAGGCACATGTGGAATGGAAATGGAGATAAAGCCATCTAGGAGGTTATCAGTTTAGGTGATAGCTAACTCTAATCTAGAATGAATTAGGTAATATGGTACTAAAGAATGAAAGAATGGGAGGAAATAAGTTTTAACTAATTAAGGATCATTTACTTAAATGAGCGCCTGATACACAGATCTACTGGAAATACTGAATCTCTAAAAACACATCAAGTATTTAAAGTATTTAAATTTAAAATATTTGTTTGCTCTATCACTATTTCTGAGATGATACAATTGCTTACAGTTGTTTTCTTTCTTCCAACAGAAAGAAATGCAGGAGTTGAAACTACGTAGTAGTAACTCAGGGTCCCCTCATCGTTGGCCTCCAGAGAATTATGGACCAGATTCAGTGCCTGATGGATATCAGGGATCACAGACTTTTCATGGGGCTCCACTAACAGGTTCGCAACTGGATAATTCCAGATTTTAGTAAAGTCAGTGTACTTCTTCCTCTTTTACACAGATAACTTGTGAACTCACCTTGTCTATATACATTTGTTTATATACATGTTTATACATGTCTGCTTATATGTTTCTTAAGCCATGTTTGGTGTTACTGAAATTTTTATAACTCCAAGCAGAAACAAAACAAGCTTTATCTGATCCTTTAATACATCTGTCAGAGAAGCTGAGCCTATTCCTGACTTTGGAAGATGTTACGTGATATTATTTTGCATTAAGAGATGGCTAAGTAAAACCTTTTCAGGATTTATTTTGGTGATATACTTAGAGGACATTCATAGGAAATCTTGTTTATTTTGAAATACCATGGTCATACAAAGAAGGAAGGAGGTGGAGCTGGGTTATATTGAAATTTGAAGTTGTACATAGTGATTTCTTGAGCCAGTTTGTGTGTTTGAAATGTGGAGATAAAACTTGCCTCACATTATTGTGAGCGTTTGTGTATGTGTAGGTGTATATTAGAGTGTATAGTAAACACTTAATGCACCAAGGGTGTCCTGTGGGTTTTCTGTGTGCAAAAATGATTTGTGCATGTAATTCCCTTTAATCATGGTAACCGAGAATGGTAGATATCATTATTATTATTATTATTTTTTTTTTTTAAAGATTTTGTTTGTTTATTTGAGAGAGAGAGTGCATGAGCAGGGGTTTGGGGGGGCAGAGGGAGAGGGAGAAGCAGACTCCCTGCTAATCAGGGAGCCTGAACACAGGGCCCAGTCCCAGGACCCTAGGATCCTGATCTGAGCTGAAGGCAGATGGTTAACTGATTTTACCGCTAAGGCACCCCATGAATTCTGTTTTTATAGATGAGGAAGTGGGTTTAGAAAGGTAATGTAATTTATCCATTATTGTACAGTTAATTATTGGTAGAGTTGGGGTTCAAACTTCAGTGGTCTTAACTGGAAAGCCCCTTGCCAGTATGATATATTGCCCACAGATAGCCAAAAATGATGATAAAAACAGATTTGTTGTTTGACATGAGATAGATTCCTGAAATGGTAGTAGTGTGTTTTTTTTCTAATTGGTTTTAATCCAGGGAAGATTTAGAATAGTATGTTCCAGTTTAGATGAGCACATTATGTGATGGTTCATAGGGCCGTACTGAAGGCAGCCTCGCTATCCTGTTTTGACAGTGTCTTCTAATGTAGGCAAAATAATAGGAAATCCTGTAAAGTCAAACTTACTAAATGTCATAAGTGATAGATAAATTTATGAGATGTGTCAGGAGTACACTTAAAAACCCTGTGCACTATATAGAGTCTGGCATAGAGAAGTCAGTAAACTGGCTAGCCTTTTCTAGGGCTTTTTGAGTGCTGTGTGGAATTGATCGTTGGCACCTTTTGAGTCACAATTTCCATTTCTTCTGTGTATAGACATAAAAGGTCTTCTGGTTGTTAAACATAACATTCACATTGTCTCATTTTATTCTTGCAATTACCCTATGAAATGTATAGAAGCAGCACATCCTCATTTTACAACTGAGAAATAGGGAGACCCCTAGTAGCTAATTGACAAGGTCGCAAAGCAGCTTTGTGGCCCTGAAAAGTGGAGAGCTCAAGTCTGTTTTGCATTCCTATGCTCACAGATTTTGTTTTTTCTTAATGAAAGTAAAAATATACCAAAATGTTTCTTGTCTTTTTAAAATAAGATGATTGAAAACAATGATTCTTAAGTTTATAGGAAATAATCAGAAGTAATAGCAATGTAAACTAAAAACTAACTATACCACTTAGAGTGCTATTAATTAACATTTTGGAGCATTTCCTTCTGATCCTTTCTCTTTGTATATGTAAAGAATTTTTAGTGAGATTTTTATCATTATGTTGTATGTAGATGAGTAGTCTGTTTTTTAAATATTAGAATTCTGAGCATTTTCTTAAATATTTTTTGAAAATACTTTTAATGAATACAGGTTTTCCCATCATGTAGAAGAACTGCAAATTTTATTCCCTTATTATTTCCAGTTTGCTGTTTTACATAATGCTGTGGACACATTCTTAGGATTGTTAGGGTATTTAAAAAATTCTTTTGTGTTGGATAATTGCTTTCAGGAAAAGCTATGCCAGTTTACACTTTTTTACCACCATTGTCTGATAGTGCCCATCTCATTGCATTCTTGCTTACTGTTAGCGATTTATTGGTTTTGAAAAACCTTCACCAATTTTTAAAAACAAACGTGGTGTCAGTTTTTATTTTTTATACGGGGCATGTTCAACAGTTTATAATCTTTTTATATTTTCTGAGTTATCTGTTTATTTGGTACTTTTTTCCTAGTAAGATTATTTTTAGTAGGTTTATAAAAACTTTTTTTCCCCCTCCATTGTTAAGAGTCACTATCACTGATAAAGTCACTAATTAAATTTTCAGACTTTATGATTCTTGGCTCATATCCATCAGCTTGCTCTGTGTTCTGTTCCTTTTTTCTCCCCAGAATGTTTAAAATAACCATCTTTACCAGGCATTTCCATTAGTTTTCCAAACTCAAACTTGGGCTTCTTTAGCAATTTTTACTTTTGTAGTCACTGTGAAGAGAACATAAATAGACTGACTAGTCTTTTCTAGGTCTTTTTCAGGGCTTTCTAGAATTAATTGTTTAGCGCCTCTTGGGTCACAGCTTCCATTTCTTCCATGTCACGGCATAAATGGTCTTTTAAGTTGTTTTGTTTTCTGATAAAACTTTAATAAAACAAACTAAGCAGTAATTGTTGGTAGCTTTGTCATGAACACGAGTGTCTTCCAGTTGTTGGTTTCCTGGTGAAACCCATACAAAACTGATTGAATAAATAGTTTGGACATCAACATGAGTGTCAGTCATGATGTGCCTTTTTTTTTTTTTTTGTAAGCCAAGGAACACGTTTTGTGTTACCTGTGAGATTCTTTGCATGAATTTATCAGGTGATTTTTGACTGGAACATTTTCAGCTTGAGTTTATAAAATGCAACCTTTTCTTTCTGCAAATTTTTAAGGCTTACTTTAAAAAATGGCCCTAAGGCCAATCAGATGCATTTTGGTTCCTTAAATCCTTCCTGTGACTAGTGTATTCCCAGTATTTCTGATGTTGACAATAGACTGTGCTTTCGTATCATACCAATCTTTCTTAGAAATGGACCAAACATTTTCTTCTTGGCTCCTTTTTTGATGCTTGTTGTGAGGCGCTTGTTCTTGTTGACCACTGTGGTGCTGCTCTCTTACTCCTCATGTGTCATATTTAGGGGTTTTCCTAGTTTGTCATTTGATAATCTTCTTTATGGTATATTTTGATGTATAGAAATTTAAAAAAATCTATAGTTAAATCTTTCTTTGATTTCTATTGTTTTTGTAATTTATAGTTCTTGCCTAGATAGTCTTAACTATAGTATAGACTTTTTTAACTGTTTTCTTTCTTTTCTTTTTTTTTCTTTTTTTTTTTTTTTAGTTGCAACTACTGGCCCTTCAGTATATTATAGTCAGTCACCAGCATATAATTCCCAGTATCTTCTCAGACCAGCAGCTAATGTTACTCCCACAAAGGTAACAAAGGAATAATTTATACATTTATAAATATCTCCTTTTTAATTGTTCAGGCTTCCTTCAAAGAAATTCAAGAAGTAGTTCAGCATTAAAACTTATATGTCCCATAAGATATAGCTATTTTAAATTTCTTTCTAGATACAGAAGTTATGCTTCTTACTCATCTTATTTTTATGTTACAATAAGTGTGAACATTTAGAATATTTCCCAAAAGTGGGGGGGATGGTGGTGGTGATGGGTCCTTTATCATTTTGTTTTGGTGGAAACAGGACTAGAATGGCCTTGCTGAACCACTATGTGGTAAGTACTTCAGGCCTGAAGTGACTATGTAGGTGTCTATTAACACCAATATTACAACTGTAGTTGAGTTATGAAGCTTTGAAGACAGATGGCTTGGGTGAATTTAGACCCTGGCTCTTTTGCTCACTGTGACCTTGGGCAAGTTTCTTAATCTCTCTATGCATTAGTTGCCTCATATGTAAAATGAGGATAATAATCCCTTAATTCATAGGGTTTTTGAGGATATTAAAATGAGATATTATGTAGAGTGCTAAGAACAGTGCCCAGTTGGCACATTAGTAAATGCTCAATAAATGTTAGTCTCCATCATCATCATCATTATTGTTAACATCATTTAACACATTATTTAGGAATAAAGAAGAAATTTATTCTATGCATTTATTGTAGAATTGGATTTTTAAGATACTGTTATTAGTTAAAGCAATTTCCATTATATGCCAAGAAAGGAGTATAACTGTAAGTATCTTTGTAAGTAATGTCTTCTTTTAATGCTGTGGTATATACTTTAATGATATCTTTACCTTATAATGCTCATGTTTGTGGTTTGTGAGAATTGGTTTGTATCTAGTTATCTGTAGTTTTGTAGACAACTTAACAAAAATCTTTAACTCTTTTTTTCTTTTAGGGTCCGGTTTATGGCATGAATAGGCTTCCACCTCAACAACATATATATGCCTATTCCCAACAGATGCACACACCACCAGTCCAAAGCTCATCTGCTTGTATGTTCTCTCAAGAGATGTATGGTCCTCCATTGCGTTTTGAGTCTCCTGCAACAGGAATTCTATCACCCAGGGGTGATGATTACTTTAATTACAATGTTCAACAGACAAGCACAAATCCACCTTTGCCAGAGCCAGGTTATTTCACAAAACCCCCAGTTGCAGCTCATGCTTCAAGACCTGCAGAATCTAAGGTTATTGAATTTGGAAAATCTAATTTTGTTCAGCCTGTGCCAGGTGAAGGAATAAGACCATCTTTGACAGCACCTGCACATACAACACAGCCAACTCCTTTTAAATTTAACTCAAATTTCAAGTCAAATGATGGTGACTTTACCTTTTCTTCACCGCAGGTTGTAACACAACCCCCTTCTACAGCTTACAATAATAACGAAAGCCTTTTAGGTCTCTTAACTTCAGATAAACCTTTGCAAGGAGATGGCTACAGTGGACCAAAAGCTAGTCAAACCATTGGACCTCGAAATACGTTCAGTTTTGGAAGCAAAAATGTGCCTGGAATTTCATTTACTGAAAACATGGGTCCAAATCAGCAAAAGAATTCTGGTTTTCGTCGAAGTGATGACATGTTTACTTTCCATGGTCCAGGGAAATCAGTATTTGGAACACCTGCACCGGAGCTGGCCAACAAGAGTCATGAAACAGATGGAGGGAGTGCCCATGGTGATGATGATGATGATGGCCCTCACTTTGAGCCTGTGGTACCTCTTCCTGATAAGATTGAAGTAAAAACTGGTGAGGAAGATGAAGAAGAGTTCTTTTGCAATCGTGCAAAATTGTTTCGTTTTGATGCGGAATCCAAAGAATGGAAGGAACGTGGAATTGGTAATGTAAAAATCCTCAGGCATAAAACATCTGGTAAAATTCGCCTTCTCATGAGACGAGAGCAAGTCTTGAAAATCTGTGCAAATCATTACATCAGTCCGGATATGAAACTGACACCAAACGCTGGCTCCGACAGATCTTTTGTATGGCATGCTCTGGATTACGCTGATGAATTGCCCAAACCAGAACAGCTGGCTATTAGATTCAAAACTCCCGAGGAGGCAGCACTTTTTAAGTGCAAGTTTGAAGAGGCCCAGAACATTTTAAAAGCCTTAGGAGCAAATGTAGCCACAACAACAAATCAGGCTATGAGAATTGTAAAAGAACCCACAAGTCATGATAACAAAGATATTTGCAAATCTGATGCTGGAAACATGAATTTTGAATTTCAGATTGCAAAGAAAGAAGGGTCGTGGTGGCATTGTAGCAGCTGCTCATTAAAGAATGCTGCAACTGCTAAGAAGTGTGTATCATGCCAGAATCTAAACCCAAACAAGAAAGAACTCCTTGGCCCACCATTAGTTGAAACTGTGTCTGTTCTTACAACTGGCCTAGAAAATACACCAGATAGATTTGCATCAACGACTCCAAAGAAAGAAGGTCACTGGGATTGTAGTATTTGCTTAGTGAGAAACGAACCTACAGTATCTAGGTGCATTGCATGCCAGAATGCGAAGGCTGCTAACAAGAGTGGATCTTCATTTGTTCAGCAAGCTTCATTTAAATTTGGCCAGGGAGATCATCCTAAGTCTGTTAACAGTGATTTCAGATCTGTTTTTTCTACGAAGGAAGGACAGTGGGATTGCAATGTGTGCCGTGTACAAAATGAAGGAAGTTCTACAAAGTGTGCTGCCTGTCAGAATCCAAGAAAACAGAATTTACCTACTTCTGTTTCAACTCCTGCTTCCTTTAAGTTTGGTACTTCAGAAATAAGTAAAACCCCAAAGAGTGGATTTGAGGACATGTTTGCTAAGAAGGAAGGACAGTGGGATTGCAGTATTTGCTTAGTGCTAAATGAGGCAAGCGCTACCACCTGTGTTGCTTGCCAGAATCCAAGTAAACAAAATCAGCCTACTTCTGCTGTTCTAGCTCCTGCCTCGTCAGATACATGCAAGCCTCCAAAGGGTGGATTTGAAGGAATGTTCACCAAGAAGGAAGGACAGTGGGATTGTAGCATTTGCTTTGTGCAGAATGAGAGTTCTTCCTTAAAATGTGTGGCTTGTGATGCCTCTAAACCAACTCATAAACCTATTGCAGAAGCTCCTTCAGCTTTCACTTTGGGCTCAAAAACTAAGTTAAATGACTCTTCTGGAAGTCAAGTTGGAACAGGATTTAAAAGTAACTTTTCTGAAAAAGGTTTTAAATTTGGTACTGCAGAACAAGGATTTAAATTTGGGCATGTGGATCAAGAAAGTACACCTTCATTTACATTTCAGGGTTCTTCTAATACAGATTCTAAGTCAACAAAAGAAGGATTTAGTTTTTCTGTCCCTATGTCTGCTGATGGATTTAAATTTGGCATTCAGGAGTCTGGAATTCAAGAGAAGAAAAGTGAAAAGCCCCTTGAAAATGACACTGGTGTTCAGGTTCAGGATATCAGTAGTCAGAAGAATGGTAGTAGTGTAATTTTTGGTCAAACTGGTAGCACTTTTACCTTTGCAGATCTAGCAAAATCAACTTCAGGAGAAGGATTTCAGTTTGGCAAAAAAGACCCTAATTTCAAGGGATTTTCAGGTGCAGGAGAAAAATTATTCTCATCACAAAGTGGTAAAATGGCTGATAAAGCTGACACTTCTGCTGACCTTGAGAAAGATGATGATGCCTATCGGACCGAGGACAATGATGACATCCATTTTGAACCAGTAGTTCAGATGCCTGAAAAAGTAGAACTTGTAACAGGAGAAGAAGATGAAAAAGTTCTTTATTCACAGCGGGTAAAATTATTTAGGTTTGATGCTGAGATAAGTCAGTGGAAAGAAAGGGGTCTGGGGAACTTAAAAATTCTCAAGAATGAAGTCAATGGCAAACTAAGAATGCTTATGCGAAGAGAACAGGTACTAAAAGTGTGTGCTAATCATTGGATAACAACTACGATGAACCTGAAGCCTCTCTCTGGGTCCGATAGAGCATGGATGTGGTTAGCGAGTGATTTTTCTGATGGTGATGCCAAACTAGAGCAGCTGGCAGCAAAATTTAAAACACCAGAGCTGGCTGAAGAATTCAAGCAGAAATTTGAGGAATGCCAGAGACTTCTATTAGATATACCACTTCAAACTCCTCATAAACTTGTAGACACTGGCAGAGCTGCCAAGTTAATCCAGAGAGCAGAAGAAATGAAGAGTGGATTAAAAGATTTCAAAACGTTTTTGACAAATGATCAAACAAAAGTCACTGATGGAGAGAGTGAATCCTCTGATGCAGGTGCTGCCAGTGCCTCTGATACTACCAGCAAGCCAAACCCTGAAAACACAGGGCCCACACTGGAGTGGGACAACTATGATTTAAGGGAAGATGCTTTGGATGATAGTGTGAGTAGTAGCTCAGTACATGCTTCTCCACTGGCAAGTAGCCCCGTGAGGAAAAATCTCTTTCGCTTTGGTGAGTCAACAACAGGATTTAACTTCAGTTTTAAGTCTGCTTTGAGTCCATCTAAGTCTCCTGCCAAATTGAACCAGAGTGGGACCTCAGTTGGCACTGATGAAGAATCTGATGTTACTCAGGAAGAAGAGAGAGATGGCCAGTACTTTGAACCTGTTGTACCTTTACCTGATCTAGTGGAAGTGTCCAGTGGTGAGGAAAATGAACAAGTTGTTTTTAGTCACAGAGCAAAACTCTATAGATACGATAAAGATGTTGGTCAGTGGAAAGAAAGAGGCATTGGTGATATAAAGATTTTACAGAATTATGATAATAAGCAAGTTCGAATAGTGATGAGAAGGGACCAGGTGTTAAAACTTTGTGCCAATCACAGAATAACTCCAGATATGACTTTGCAAAATATGAAAGGGACAGAACGAGTGTGGGTGTGGACTGCTTGTGATTTTGCAGATGGGGAAAGAAAAGTAGAACATTTAGCTGTCCGTTTTAAACTACAGGATGTTGCAGATTCATTTAAGAAAATATTTGATGAAGCAAAAGTAGCCCAAGAAAAAGATTCTTTGATAACACCTCAGGTTTCTCGTTCAACCACTCCTAGAGAGTCACCATGTGGCAAAATTGCTGTTGCTGTATTAGAAGAAACCACAAGAGAAAGGACAGATTTAATTCAGGGTGACGACACAGCAGATGCAACTTCAGAAGTTGGAGAAGTGTCTAGCACATCTGAAGCAACAACTAAAGCAGTGGTTTCTCCTCCAAAGTTTGTATTTGGTTCGGAGTCCGTTAAAAGTATTTTTAGTAGTGAAAAATCAAAACCATTTGCATTTGGCAACAGTTCAGCCACTGGGTCTTTGTTTGGATTTAGTTTTAATGCACCTTTGAAAAATAGTGGTGAAATTAGTTCAGTAGTCAAGAGTGGATCTGAAAGAAAAGTGGAACCTAATTGCAAAGAGTCGAAGAATTCAGATAGCAAACAGTCTTCAGATGGCAAAGTCAGAAATCTCTTTGCTTTTCCAAAGGAAGAGTCCTCAACTAATTACACCTTTAAAACACCAGAAAAGGGTAAGCGCTTAGTCTTTAGTATAAGCAGAATTTTTCATCCATTGTGTGTAAATATTTTGCTTTATGCGTATACTCTTTGTAGGATACTAATGTTTTAGTAAAAGTTGGGTCATAAACATAGTGCGTTGTGAACAGCCAAAAAATAATTGTACAGATTGTTTTTTCTGCCTAAATCCGTTTCCCTGTGATTGTTTAAATAGTGGCAGAGAACGTGTAAGTTATTGAGGATATCTAACTGAAAGATATTTATATTATGTTTAATGCAGAGAACAAGAACCTAATACAGTACCAAAGTTTAGTGACTCATGTACTCATGAGTATTAACTTGAGTTTGATTTTTTTTTTAAAGTGTTCATACTTCAATGTATCATTCTCTTGTCAGTCAAAAAACATGGTACTGAGATGTTTATATGTCATATAAGGTAGTCTTACCATTGTTTATTAAATGAGCAAAGAATGAAACTACCAGGATAAATGAATATCTGAGATTGCTAAATTGGTATAAATTGAGGGACTCTGGCTTTTTATATTTTAAAATCACGTTCACTTTGATTCTCAAGATGTCCAAAAATGAAATACTCTTTATTTTCTAGGATTTAATTTTAGCCTTTTTAAATCTAATCCAATGGCTTTTTGGACCAGCATCCCTTCCTCAGAGCCTGAGAACGAAGGTATAGAGCTAGTATTCTCAGTACGAGATGACATCATTTTTTTTTTTTAGCAGCTGGTAGTCCTTAGCAAAGTAACTGGCTGTATGAAATTAAGTACTTAACACTAAGGAGTGCATGTTAAAAGAATGTCTGTTTAAACAAGTACTTTTTTTGACTGGCGGTATATAACATCCTTTAATGCTGTTTTTGTTTTGTTTTTAATGTACTTGGATGACATGTTTTTTCAGTATTGTACAGCATTATTTTGAGGTAGATCCATGTGGTCTTTATCTTTTGCTGCTTTATACTTCATTATTATTTTTAACTCTGCTTAATGAAGACCTTTGTTTTTTCTAACATTTATCTTTAGCCAGGAATGTCTGCTAGCATGTATACACATGGAACAGAGTTGCCCTTTAATATTATCCTTTTGGATAGGGTTTAGAAAAATATCCTATTTAAAAGTAGATGTCATTTTTAACAGCCAACATTGTATACCTGGTATGTTATAAAAATAAATGTTGGTATTAGAGTGGAGTAATAGGAAGTGGGGGAATCTGTTAAAGACCTTTGAGAGCAAGGTTAGGGAAATGAATACTATTAGTATCTAACAACATATCTTGAGCAACACAACTATGTTCAGTGATAAAATAACAATCCTTGATTCGGGGGCCCTTTACTCAGTCACAATACTAGCTAAAGAACTTTGCTTTTAATTTTTAACCCTCATTCTTAGTGATATATTCTTTGGGAATTTGTGAAAAGTGTGGACTTTTTCCTCTAAATGACATATACTTGAATGCACACTCCAGGACTGTAGGTTAAGAATCCCTGGTCTAAGAGCAGATTTACCAGTATACTACTGTATGACAAAGAGCCTTATTCTCTTTCAAGTCCAAGAACGTAATGGTCCCGGGCTCCTGGGTGGCTCAGTGGGTTAAGGCCTTTGCCTTCAGCTCAGGTCATGATCTCAGGGTCCTGGGATCTCGAGCCCCACATCGGGCTCTCTGCTCAGCGGGGAGCCTGCTTCCTCCTCTCTCTCTGCCTGCCTCTCTGACTACTTGTAATCTCTATCAAATAAATAAATTAAATCTTAAAAAAAAAAAAGAATGTAATGGTCCCAAAGGACCTTAGAAATGGAGATTCCAGACTCTGAGGAGACTGAGGCTTGGCTGGGTTATCTGAAATACCCACACTGTCTCTACCAGCTAATAGCAGAATTGGAATAAGAATTTATATATCTTACAGTATTGTAATTGATTCTATGTTTTTCTGATTAAGGAGAGTAAAAGGCAAGTTTAGCATTGTAAAAGGTCTCCAGTTCTCTAAATCAGATCAAATATGACCTGTGTATGTAACTTAGAATTTTCTTTTTTTTTTTAAACAGATTTTATTTATATATTTGACAGAGAGAGAGAGAGATCACAAGTAGGCAGAGAGGCAGGCAGAGAGAGAGGGGGTAGCCGACTCCCCACTGACAGAGCCCAATGTGGGGCTCGGTCCCAGGATCCTGAGATACGACCTGAGCCAAAGGCAGAGGCTTAACCCACTGAGCCACCCAGGCGGCCCTAGAGTTTTCTAATAGCAACATTAAAAAATAGGATAAAAAACAGGTGAAAAAAGAAGCAGATGAATTTAATTTTAATCTATGCAGTTACATTATATCTGAAATAACATTTCAGGTTCTAATCAGTATAAAAATAAAGATATACTTCATATTCTGGGTTTTTTGTTTTGTTTTGTTTTTTATACAAAGTCTTCAAAATCCAGTGTATATTTTTATTTTTATTTTATTTTATTATCTTTTTTTTGAGGGAGAGACAGTGTGTGATCACAAATGGGAGGGACAGAGAGAGGTGGAATGGGGAGGAGAGAGAATCTCAAGCAGACTCCGTTCTGAGTGTGGAACCTGACACAGGGCTCAGTCTCATAATCGCAAGATCAAGACCTGAGCCGAAATCAAGAGTTCAGCAGTTAACCAACTAAGCCATCCAGTTGCCCCTAGTGTGTATTTTTATACCTGAAGTAGGACTCAGTTTGGACTAGGCACATTTAAAGTGCTTGATAGCCACATGTGGCTAAGATATGATTTTGGACAGCACCTGTTGGTATGTGATTTGTTTTATCTGTTCCTTTTGCCAGATATTCCTCTTTATTTATTGGCCACAGTGTATTGTATGAAGAATCCCCTTTTTCTTTGTGTTTTGCTTTTTTTTGTTGTTGTAGTTTTTCAGCTATAAAATTTGTCCTAAATTCTTAGTGTATTATACCAAGGATAACAGTAATTTTAATTTAGTTTTATATGTTATCATGCTTGGAAGTGTGCAAAACTGGATATAACTCCAATCACCCACTGTCCTTGGCAATTGTTAATAATTCCAATTACCTGCCATGCTTGGCAATTGTTAACTTTTCTTGTAGGAACTAATCAAGGTTAGCTTTGCATTAGTTTCATATTTATACTAATCTTTGCTCATGATTTCTCTAAGTTTTTTCAGTTGCAAATGCATGGATATTTTGCTAAACAATTGTTTAGTATGCCAAATATGGTTATGGCAGCACTATTTAAATGCCTTTTACAATTATAGCCATTAATAGTAGTTTTTATTAAATGATCAGTGAGTAAATGCAGTAGTTTTTTGGTTTTAAATAGATTCTGTGTTCAGTAAGGGTTTTGACAGAACATTAAATCAGACTTCTAATTCTTTACAGAGCTTTGTCCACATCAGAGTTTATGTGTTTTCATCACTATTCTATTTTAACCTAAAAATAAGTTCAGTGGTTTTATTTTCAGCTAGGATATTGGTGTTAATACAACTATTTAATATCTTGTCTTCGTAATTTTTTGGACTTACTTTATAGCAAAAGAGAAGGTAAAACCTGAAGATCCTTCCTCAGATGATGATGTTCTTATTGTATATGAGTTAACACCCACCCCTGAGCAAAAAGATCTTGCAAGCAAACTTAAACTTCCTCCAACTTTCTTCTGCTATAAGAATAAACCAGATTATATTAGTGAAGAAGAAGAGGATGGTAAATCTTCTGTTATTTAAAATGCATTCTTTTCATGGTAATCTTAGTAATGGGGGAGTATGGTTAAATTATTTAAAGCCTGCCTCTTAGAACCCAACACTGCTGTCATTGTAGCTAAGATGTTTATCCTCAGTGTATGTTTTGTAAATAGTCAATGGATGTAATGATTGAAACAACTGCATTTATTAAGTGAGGATTTTGTGGATGGCTACCATAAGTTGTGCAGGCATTTTGAGAATTGAAAGCAATCCTCATTCTCTGTTGACTTAGAGGGATGAGGGAGTAATGAAGCAGATGGGTGTTTGATTATGGAAAACTCTGTGAGCCATACCAGAGTCTTTAAGCAGGGGAGTTCCATGCTCAGGAAGTTTCAGTAGGACTGGTTGAGTTTGGTGTAGAGGATTGGGTTGTGGGACATGGAGATAGGAAGATGATAGAGTAGCTCAAACAAGAAGAGAGCCTGAATAGAATTTCTATAATGACAGGAGAGGCATTAGGAATATAGAATTGGAAAAATTGGGTGTTCTTTCAATGTGGGGAGTAAGGGAAAGTATGAAGTTGAAGGATAATTCCTAGATTTCTGGCTAGAAAAATTCCTGAAACTTAATAGAAATTCCTTTTGTTTAATAAAATCAATTATACTTAAGATGAAGATTTCGAAACAGCTGTCAAGAAACTTAATGGAAAACTATATCTGGATGACTCAGAAAAATGTAGACCATTAGAAGAAAAGCTAACAGGTATGTTAAATTAAAATTACTAATTTCAATGCTCTTACAAATTTTTTAATTCATTCATTCATTTGAGGGGGAAGAGAGAAAGGGAGGGGGAGGAGCAGAGGGGAGAGAAAATCTTAAGCAGCTCCATGTCCAATGCGGAGCCAAATGCGGGCCTTGATCTCAGAACCCAGAGATCATGACCTGAGCAGAATCAAGAATCAGACACTTAACCAACTGAGCCACTCAGGTGCCCCACTAGTTACAAAGTTTTAAAAAAAATCTTCTATTTAAAAGGAATCTTCTGATCATTTTTATAATTACCAGTTTTACTTATGTACTATTCCTCTCATGTTTTAAAATATTTGAAAATAATATGAAGTGTAAAACATTGTTTTCTTGGTGATCCTGTTCTCCATTACCACTCATAGGTATTGCTATCTGAGTCTGTAATCTGTACATTATATTGAGAACCGTTCTTGGAAAGGAGTTGGACTTCTTGTAACTTTCTTTTGCTTGTGTTCTGTGGAATTTTCAGATAATGAAAAAGAATGTGTTATTGTTTGGGAAAAGAAACCAACAGTTGAAGAGAAGGCAAAAGCAGATACATTAAAACTTCCACCTACATTTTTCTGTGGAGTCTGCAGTGATACTGATGAAGACAATGGAAATGGGGAAGACTTTCAGTCAGAATTTCAAAAAGTTCAGGACTCTCAAGTAAGAGCATCTCCATTATTTTCCTTCTGATTCAGTTGCCTTTGTTGATGCAGTAGACTAGAATGTTTTTACCAAATGGTGGTAATGTGTTGTGGGAAGAAAATGGATTAGGCATCTACCAATCAGCTTTGACCAGAGAAGAAGGAATTTTGTTCTGCATAGAGGACTGTAAAGATTCACCTCCTGTGTATGTTGGGTTTTTGTGGGGATGGGAGAGGTGGACTGAGCAGAATATCCTTTGGAGTGTTTACCACTAAGAATGATACTAATTAGTTCATTTTCTATGCAAATTAGTTTATTCTCTGGTGGAGAGAGTGGATAGGCAGTAATATTTGAGACAGTTCCTTGGCCTATAACTTGCTTTGTCAATTTCATGATTTGATTACTTTCTTAGCACAACTGTAGTGATAATTTTAATAGATATCAGCATCTTGGTTATCTTAATTTGTATTTCACAGAAAACAGAAGACAAGGTCCCTATCTAGTAATTGTTTACAGTCTAATATTGGCATGTATTCAGAATGTTCCTGCCTCCTCAAGTAATACTGGCTTTTTTTGTTGTTTTATTTTTGTTTTTGTTAGATGGTTAAAATAGAGTAGAGTCCTGGAATTAGTTACACACGTAGTGGTTTATTTAAGGGACATGTGGCTAGAGAGAGATGTGGTCTGAGTCTAAGAAATTTATTGTTCTTCATAGTCTCTCTGACTCGGAGGAGTCTTTGCTGGCCACCTAGGATGTGTAGGTTTAAATTTAATTCATCAGTACACATATAATTAATGGTCATAAGTTGATGTAAAGATACCACTTTCTCATTTATAACCCGATAGATTTATTTGTGGAAATCTGAAGTTTTTGCAGCAGTGGTCTCACTATTTCAATCTAAAGTGTATTTCAAATCACTTAGCAGTTTCCATGGATTCATTGTATTTACATGTATTTACATGTATTTCATTGTATTTTCATTCACAGTATTTAGTGACTGTTACTCTAATTCCTTACTGTTAGAGGCTTTATCATGTAGCTGTTTATTTAACAAGTACAGTATAATCATATTAATAAAAACTTGGATTATACAGATTTAAACAGTGATTTAAACATGGCCTTTTATGTGCAAAACTTTTAGTAAGTTACTACTTTAACATTTATTTTAAAACTGAAAAATAATTTCAGTACTGATGCACAGACTGAATTGTTGATCATTTATTCTTTTTCTACCTTGTGGTGCATGCCACTTGAGCTGGCACACAAGACTTGGTGTATTTTGTTGGTATTTTATAAACCACGCTGTTTATAGGAGTTGAAGTATCTTATTTGAGGTGACAGTTGTGTTATTTTAAAACATTTGTGATTGTTAGAAAATATCCTGTAACACTATCACACTGTTCATTAAATAGTAGTATTAGTGGCTATCCAAACATACTTTTGGTACCAAAGTTAAATATGATAAATCTCTTCTGTAAAGGTTGGAAAAAAATGCCGCAATAAAGTATACGTTTTGGAAGAGAGCAGTTACCTTTTGATACACAGAGATGAAATAGAAAACTAAAAACCATTTAAACTAAAATATGCTCTAAGAGATGTGGATTTACACTTTTTCAGAATGTGGTGTTCCTGCTTTACACTCAGTTTAATTAATTTTGAATATGATATCTGTTGCTTAAAATGCTTATGTGTACTCTGTTTATAAGCGTTTACTGTGAGCTAGCACTATGCTGACAATTGGGGATACAGTATTGAACAAAATAGAAGTAATTTGATTTGTCTGTATTGAGTTTTCCATTCAACGCCTCTAAGGTGAGGATGCATTAGGAGCTGAATTAAAACCCTTCCCCCCACCCATTTGTCTGTATTGAGTTTTCCATTCAAGGCCTCTAAGGTGAGGATGCATTAGGAGCTGAATTAAAACCCTTCCCCCCACCCAAGCAATCTAGCCTACTTTTTTGGGGTAACATTTATTGTGGTATAATTCACACACCGTACAGTTCACCCATTTTAAAGTATAGAATTCCGAGGTTTTTAGTATATTCGCAGGGTTCTGCAACCATTACCACAATCAATTTCTAACAGTTTTATCAACCCAAGAAAAACCTCTAACCTCTACCAGTCACCACCCTTCCCTATTTCCCCCTAGTTCCTCCAGCCCTAGAAACCAGTGATGGACTATCTCTATAAGTCTGCCTATTGTGGACATTTCTTCCTTTTTTTTTTTTTTTTAAAGATTTTATTTATTTATTTGACAGACAGAGACCACAAGTAGGCAGAGAGACAGGCAGAAAGAAAGGAGGAAGCAGGCTCTCCGCTGAGCAGAGCCTGATGCGGGGCTGGATCCCAGGACCCTGGGATCATGACCTGAGCCGAGGGCAGAGGCTTTAACCCACTGAGCCACCCAGGCGCCCCTATTGTGGACATTTCTTATAAATAACTTTTGTGTCTGGCTTCTTTCACTTAATGTGTTCAAATATATCTACACTGTAGCATATATATGCATTTATTGATTTTTATGACTGAATAATATTCCATTGTATGGGTATGCCACATTTCATTTATCCATTCATCTGTTGATGGCCACTTGGGTTGGTTTTACTTTTTGGCTATTACAGTAATACTGCTGTGATAGCATAAAACATTTGATACAAACAGAATGAATTTTCTTTGCCTTGTGCTTCAGGTATGTTAAGGACTTCTTTCATTTGTAGTAATTTTTTTTATTTACAGAAGTAAAATTCACTTTTGTGTATGTGTGTCTTTTTTCTCTGAGTTCTTACATATGCCTGAATTCTTATAATTCCCACCAAAGACAGGATAGAATAATTCCAACACACCCAGAATTCCTTTGTATCATCCCTTTGTAGTCAGATCCTCCCCTACCCATATCTTTTAGCAACTGCTGATCTGTTTTCTGTTTCTATATTTTTGCCTTTTCTAGACCAACATATGAATGAAATCCTACAGTATAGGATTTCATATGAATAAAATACTACAGTATAGGCAATTGTCTATCCCTAAGTAGTATTCCATTGTGTGGCTATACCACAGTTTATTCATTGATCCATGGAAGGTCATTTCCAATTTATTTTGCTCTTTTTCTAGTTTCCCAAAGTGGAGCCATTCTTCATTTCTAGTATAGTTAATGTTCTAAGTTTCTTTCTAGGAACTGTTCAGCTCCATCCCAAAACTTTTACTATGTGGTATTTTCATTTTCTTTCAGTTTAAAATACTCATTTTCCTTGAGATATTCTTTTGGTACATGCATTAGGTAGTATGTTGCTCCCAAATATTTGGTGATATTCCACATATTCTGGTATTGATTTCTAGTTTAATTCCTTTATTGTCTGTGAACGTATTTTGAGTAATTTCAGTTCTTACAGGTTTAATGAAGGCTGTCTTGGTGATTGTTGTGCACTTGAGAGGAATGTGTAGTCTGCTCTTTTGGGGTAGTGTTTTATGTTAATTAGATCAAGCTAATTGATGCTGTGCTGTCTAAGTCTCAATATATTATCTTTGACTACTTTTTTGTTTCCTTATTCTTTTTATTATTGAGAAGACTGTTGCTAGGCATAATTGTAGATTTGTCTGTTTCTCCTATTAATTTTTGCTTAATGTACTTAGAAAATACATTAGGTACATTAATGTACTTAGAAAGTTTTCTAGAAGACATTGTAGGAATTGCTAGTCTTTCTTTCTTTCTTAAATGTTTGATAGAACTCGGTACTGAAACCATTTGGTCCTGGAATGATACTGATTGATGATACATTTTCTTTAGTAGATGTAGGCCTATTCAGATTATCTATTTCTTCTTCTTGAGTTTTGGTAGGTTGTGTCTTTCAAGGAATTGGTCCATTTTCTTTATGTTAATCAAATTTGTGGGTATAATGGTGTCTAAATTAAAATTTATTACCCTTTTAATAGCCATCAATTAAAAGTGAGTAGTGATGGCTCTTGTTTCATTTCTTTTCCTTTTTAAAAAATTATTTATTTGAGAGAGAGAGCACAAACAGGGGGAAGGGCAGAGGGAGAAACAGACTCCCCACTGAGCAGAGATCCACAGGAGGGGCTCAATCCCAGGACCCCAGGATGATGACTGGAACTGGAGCCAGATGCTTTGACTGAGCCACTCAGGCACCCCTTGTTTCATTTCTTTTTTTTTTTTTTCTTTTTTTTTGTTTTAGAGAGTTTATTTACTTATTTGATAGAGATAACAAGTAGGCAGAGAGGCAGGCAGAGAGAGAGAGAGAGAGGAGGAAGCAGGCTCCCTGCCAAGGAGAGAGCCTGATGTGGAACTTGATCCCAGGACCCTGAGATCATGACCTGAGCTGAAGGCAGTCTCTTAACCCACTGAGCCACCCAGGCGCCCCCTTGTTTCATTTCTAATATTAATAACTTGCATCTTGTTTTCTTGATTAACCTACTATGGGTTTATCGGTTTTTATTGACCTTTTCAAAAAACTACTTTTGATTTTGTTGTTTTCCTCTTTTAATTTCCTGCTTTATTGATTTCTTCTATACTTTTCATTTTTTTCTAATCTTCTTGCTTTAATTTTATATTGCTCTTTCTCTAGTTTCTTAAGGTAGGAGTTCATTGATTTTAGATTTTTTTTCTTAAAGATTTTATTTATTTGAGAGAGAGAGGGAGGGAGAGAGCACAAGCCCAGGGGAGAGGCAGAAGGAGAGGGAGAAGCAGACTTCCCACTGAGCAGGGATCCTGATGCAGGGCTCAGTCTAGGAACCCTGTGATCATGACCTGAGCCAAAGTCACATACTTTTAACTGACTGAACCACCCAGTCACCCCATTGATCTTCTTAATGTATGCATTCAGTACTATAAATTTTCCCTTCCTTGCTTTTGTTGCATTTTGTAAGTTTTGATAAGTTGTAGTTTCATATTTATTTAAAGATATTTTTAATTTATCTAGAGGCCTTTGTATATATGTATTACTTTTAAAAAATGGGTTGTTTAATCTCTTAATATTTGGAATTTCTCCAGCTATATTTCTGGTAATGATTTCTAGCTTAATTCCTTTGTTGACTGAGTATATATACTTTGTATGATTTCTGTTCTGTTGAATTTGTTGAGGTGCGTTTTATGGGCCAGAATGTGTTTTTTTTTGGTAAATCATCTGTGTTGCTTTCTGTTACTGTATTTTTTTTTTTTAAAGATTTTATTTATTTATTTGACAGAGAGAGATCACAAGCAGGCAGAGAGGCAGGCAGAGAGAGAGGAGGAAGCAGGCTCCCTGCTGAGCAGAGAGCCCGATGCAGGGCTCTATCCCAGGACTCTGAGATCATGACCTGAGCCAAAGGCAGCGGCTTAACCCACTGAGCCACCCAGGCGCCCCTGTATTTTTTCATTTATAAAATTCCCACTTGACTCTTTTTATACCTTCAGTTTTTTTGCTGAGAACTTGTTATCTTTTCATTTATTTTAAAGAATATTTGCTCTTACATCCTGGAGCATTGTTACAGTAGCTTCTTTAAAGTTCTTTTCTGCTCATTTTTTCTGCTCATTCAACACATGGATCATTTCCTGACAACCCCAACCCCTGACCAAGGAGAGTTGGCTTTTCTTGGGACTTTTTTCCATCTCTGTCATTGCAGCTTCTCTAGCACCCAGGCTGGAATATGGGTTGGTGGGGAAGAAAAAACCCTGGAAGGTTCTTACCACTGGATTATAACTCAAGTCTTGGGGTTCTTTTTTTTTTTTTTAATATTTTATTTATTTATTTGACAGACAGAAATCACAAGTAGGCAGAGAGGCAGGCAGAGAGAGAAGAAAGCAGACTCCCTGTGGAGCAGAGAGCCCGACGTGGGGCTCGATCCCAAGACCTTGGGATCATGACCTGAGCCAAAAGCAGAGGCTTTAACCCACTGAGCCACCCAGGTGCCCCAAATCTTGGGGTTCTTAATCCTCCTGATTTATCCACCTTTCAGAGGCTTTTTATACTTGGCTTTATCTGTTTTCAGTCCAGTTCAATAGTAAATATAGGTTGGAGTGTAGAATGGGAGAGATAGGGTGAAGTGTGCTTATTCCATTATGTCCAGAATTCTCAAGTCCTCAATTTCTTTTAAAATAGTAATATGATCCTTTTTGCCAGTCAGTATTTAATGGCATAGTTATTTTTTACTTCCTCTTTGCAGAAATCCCAGAGTGAAGAAATAGCTAACACGGCTGACAGTATGTATACAGGTGGGAGTAAAGTGACTGCACCATTTTTATGTAAATCTGAAGAACCTGATTTTATTACCAAATCTGTTAGTTCACCACCTGTTTCTTCTGGAACTGTGGATAAACCTGTAGATTTGTCTACTAGAAAGGAAAATGATGCAGATTCTACAAGCCAAGGTAAAATTTAATACGTTTACAAAAATCTTCTAGGCATATATTACATAATGTCACCTACCTCTGTGTTTGAGAAAATAGACTCAAATGTCAATTCTAAAAACTCCCTTCCCTTAAAACACATTTGAAACGTATAAAGGGGCATGAAATATTTGTAATAATAACCAGAAAATCATACTGCCTTGTCAACAAGGACCCATTCTCTCTGGGTCCTGGGTAAAAGCTTTGATGTTCAGTATATATTAAATGAAATGTTAAATTATTCTTTTCCTTTTGCCAGTGGAAAGCAAAACAGTTTCATTTGGATTTGGAAGTAGCGCAGGGCTGTCATTTGCAGACTTGGCTTCCAGTAATTCTGGGGATTTTGCTTTTGGTTCTAAAGGTAAGATCAAGAGGAGAGATTTTAAAGATCATGTTACAGAATCAAACACAACTGAAAGAACTAGTCCTTTGCCACAGTGTTGTAACTAAGTTGGACATTTCTTCCCTCATCTTACCTTCCATTCTGTTTAAGGGTATTAATGAGAAAGGACTTTATATTAATTAATCATTAATTAATTAATATAAAATTAATAATAATATATATTTTACTATTATTTTTGACATTTATTAATATAAATAATATATTTGACATTTATTAATATAAATAATATAAACCATAAGAATTTTCTCTTAATTCACTATAAATCTTGTTGTTAGTCTTTCCCATCCTGAAATGTAGAACCACCTTTCCAGTTTTGGAATTACCTTGGCATTGTTCTTTTAATTATACTTTTGGATTTGGTTTTTGTGAATATTTCAGATTTGTGCATCTATTTTTTAAGGAGATGATTTTATAGTTTTCTATTTTTCTAGTTTCCTTGATCAAGTTTGAATATAAGGCTTGTGCTGATTTATCACTATAAATTTATGGTTGATGAGGTTTCCCATCTTTTTCAGTGGTTTTTTTTTTTAGTGCATTTTGTATCATTTGTAGAGAATAATATATTACTTGATTGTTTCAAGTTTATTGGCATATTACTTTCTCTTTCTTATAATGACTTTCATATTTCTGATTATAGCACCACCTAAGTTGTTATACAAGATGCTTGATTTGTGGAATGTTAATGAAAATATATACTTATATGACTTTATATGATTTATGTAATTCAGAATAGCATTCTTCCCACCCACATGCTTACACTTCTTTCACATCACCTGCCATTTACAGAGGCACATGTAAAACTTTCAGAAATTACCTTCAGGTATTGTTTGTTATGCTGGAATTCATATCCTCACCGATGTCAAGTTGCTATATATTTTTTTAATGTATGGTAGCCTGAAGTCAGGAGATAATGAGCCCTTATAGATATAGTTATCTGTATACAAAAAATTATCAAATAAAAGTTGATGAGTTAGGATGCTTGTTTTTCAGTGTAACCTTTTCAAAGTACTCTATCCATACTGTGCAGTAAAGTGTGAAATAGGCTAGACTCAAACCTCATGACATTTACTTCTCACCGCCACTTGTCATTTTTTGCTGAGGTGATTTAGCAAGTTCTTTGTTAACTACATTACTTACTTTGTTTTCTTCTTAGATCTGGCAGGAATTTGTGCTGTCTTTTCAAAGAAGTACCTTTTGGTTTGGACAGTTCTTCTTTTGTTTGTGTTTCTGATTAATCTTTAGACTTTTTCATTACTTTTCTTTTAAATTAGTTTTTTTTTAAGAGGTCATAAATTTCACCAGAATGTGGGTATCCATCTTCCTTACTCCTTCCCTCTCTCCCTCCCTCCCTTCCCTCCTTCCTTTCGTTCTTTCTTTCTTTTTTAAACTTTCTGATTTTAAACTTTCTGTTTTGGTTGGTTTTTAAGTTCAGAGGAATCTTTTTTTCCTCTTCTTATTGTATATTCTTTTTCTGTAATGATTCTTTTTTTTTTAATCTGCTCCTGTCCTTTTTTGGTTGTGATTTTTTTTTTTTTAAACTCATTTTCTTTGCAAGCTCTATTCACATAGGTATGTCAGTCATTCCACATCTGTTGTCTAATATTTAGTACAGAAACTAAGAGAATAATAAGGGAGCTCCTGTTTAAAGAGCCCTGCCTTTGTCAGTAATCACTATTTTATCATATTTCCTTCAGATTTTGTAATGTTTTTATAAACCTGTTCATATAGTGGAAGTCTCCTACGTACTGTTGCCTAGAACTGTTACTGTGAAATTGTGATTATTGACATGTATAACTTTATATTTTTACTCTAAAATTCTTCCTCCTGGTTTTCAAAAAACTTTGGCTTCATATTAGAATTTCCTGGGAGGTTTTTCTTTTTTTTTTTTTTTTTTTTTTAAAGAAAACAAAACATTATATTGGACTTTCTGGGCATGGTAGCCTAGGCATTGATATCTTAAAAGTTCCTGTGTGATTCTTACAATTCACCCAGCATTAAGAACCACTGAGACATTTTGGAATTTTTCTGCCATACCTCTCAAGGGTCTTTTGGGGTAATTAAAAATTTTTCTTTGCTTGGGAGTTCCTGAACCAGTTTTGTTTTCTGTTTTTTGTTTTTAAGAGAGAGAAAGAAGAGAGTATATGTGCATATATGCAAGAGCTTTGGTGGGGGGCAAAGTGAGGGGGGAGAGAGAATCTTAAGCAGGCTTCATGTCCAGCGCAGAGCCTTTGTGCTGCATGATCTCACAACCCTGAGATCCTGACCTAAGCTTGGTTGCTTGACCAACTGAGCCACCTAGGCACCCCTCTTTTGCAATATCTTCCTAAGGACTTTTGTTTTCTTCCTCTTTTTGAAGTTTTTTTTCCTCTCTCTTTTTTTTTTTTCTTCCCCTCCCCACTAAATCTGGCTTAGAGGGAGTTACTGTTAATAGATACTCATTCTGTGCTTTCTTCAAGGTGCTGAGTTACTTTTTAAACGATCTGTGATATTTTTGCCCCTTAAGAGTTTTTAGCACTGGATATGGAATTTTCTAAGACAGTGATTCATCAGTAAGTGATGAAAAGCTAAGAGATGTTTCTTTCCTCTAAGACAGTGAGGAATGTATTAGCAGGCTGAGATGGGGATGAAGTAGTAACTAGTTTTCATGTTCTCCAAGGCCTAAGGGAGAGTAACAATAGAGAGTCTTCAGCACCAACAGCCTGGTATCCCTTGAGGATAGTTGGGAGTCAGTGAGCTTCTCCCTGTGCTACCTTCTACCATCTGGCAAGAAATCTAAGCTGCAACAGTAGTTACTTCAGGAAGAAGTTGAGGTAGAAAAGCTATAAATGTGTTTAGGCTGCTTTGACTACTTTGGAAGTAGCAGGTGTAGCCTCTTTGAGAGGACATTTTTAGGTTCAAAAGTTATTTTTCATATGTGATAAAATGTTTTATGAAGTAAATTACCTTTGGAGCTGAACTAATTGTTCAAAATTCCAGGGTATGTGTTAAGAATGTGCTTCATTACTGAAAGTTCTTGCATAGTTCAGTATCAATGAAATTTGCCCGAGGCTCAGATGATCTTATCTTTGTAGCTCAAAGCATAAACAGTACTCCGTACTGTGAGTAGTACTGTGTGCTCACTGTATGAGTTAAACTTGTCAGAGTAATTTAAGCATTTTTACTAAAAGTATATGTCATATCACTGGAAATTACAGGCCTCAAGAAAGTAATAGGGGGATTAAAAGCCTATAAAATTTGATACCACTGTTTAAATATCCTAATTTATTCATCAGATAAGAATTTCCAGTGGGCAAATACTGGAGCAGCTGTGTTTGGAGCACAGTCAACCAGTAAAGTTGGCGAAGAGGAAGATGGTAGTGATGAAGAAGTAGTTCACAATGAAGATATCCATTTTGAACCAATAGTGTCATTACCTGAGGTAAATATTAAAAGAATGGAACTTTTACTAATAACTTCACATTTTAAATTTAAAACTTGACGTAGGCTTGACTTGCAGGACTAACTTTGTTTGCGTTTCTTTCAGAATATTTACCCTTTCAAGTGGAAGCTTTTTATTACTATATATATATTTATATAGACACATATATAAATATAAATTCTACATGAAATTGTTGGGAAGAACTAAGTTTTTTCATATATTTTTAGAATATCTTGTTTTCATAATATAATTCTGGAAGTAAAAAGTATCCAGTTTCATACTTGCCAAAATTCTTTCAATAAAAAGGACAAGAATGTTATTTTAGGCAAATTACTTTGTCAGTTTTCAACTACAATCAGTAGTTGATATTTCTCTTCAAGAACACTTTTTGGAATCTCTTCTGTCCCATAAAACAATGTATTTACTTTCCAAAAGGAGGAAGAATACTATATAAGAGAAATGTTTCATGACATATCAGGTCTTTACTGCTTCATCCAAATCAGATGTATTCGTAGCCCTTGGATATTATCATTTATCTTGATACTATAGTTCAAATTCTGTTAATGTCATTGCAAAGACAATATTGTGTGGAATTTGGATCTTTGGAATTTGTCATGTAATATGTTAAAAGCAGCAGCTTATAATTTTATTTGCTGTCATAGGTAGAAGTAAAATCTGGAGAAGAAGATGAAGAAATTTTATTTAAAGAGAGAGCCAAACTCTATAGATGGGATCGAGAGGTCAGTCAGTGGAAAGAGCGTGGTGTAGGAGACATAAAGATTCTTTGGCATACAATGAAGAATTACTACCGGATCCTAATGAGAAGAGATCAGGTTTTTAAAGTGTGTGCAAACCATGTCATCACCAAAACAATGGAATTAAAACCCTCGAATGTTTCGAACAATGCTTTAGTTTGGACTGCCTCAGATTATGCTGGTGAGTTCTATATGCAAATGCTACTTTTTACTTTTTTGGTCTTTTCTAAAATCCATAACAAATGTGTAAGACAGCTTATAACAATTATTTTAATATTAAGGTTGTCCCTATGTTGTTTTGTTTTGCTTAATAGATGGAGAAGCCAAAGTGGAACAGCTTGCAGTAAGGTTTAAAACCAAAGAAATGGCTGATTGTTTTAAAAAAAAATTTGAAGAATGTCAACAGAATTTATTGAAACTCCAGAAAGGACAAGTATCACTGACAGCAGAGTTATCGAAGGAGACAAATCCTGTGGTGTTTTTTGATGTTTGCGCAGACGATGAACCTCTAGGACGTATAACCATGGAATTATTTTCAAACATTGTTCCTCAGACTGCGGAGAACTTCAGAGCACTCTGCACTGGAGAGAAAGGCTTTGGCTTCAAGAACTCCATTTTTCACAGAGTAATTCCAGATTTTGTTTGCCAAGTAAGTATTTAATTGTGTATCACAGTTGAAGTCTAGAAAGTGAACCACACTAACTTGGGAAATTTGAATGTTTTTCTTCACCTGGAATTTTCTTAAGATTTCTTTAGCTTTTCTGCATATTAGTTGGTGTCACATCCAACTTCCTGTCCCCACAATAACTTTCAACCTAAAATGGTTTAAATTTCTGATACCTTGAAACCTGCTAGAAATAGAGGGTAGGCAAAAGACCTTTTCATTTTTGTCTTTCAAAAATGGGTATTTCTTAGTTTTCAAACCACATTCTCAAGGAAGTTGAGTTTTTAGGACTTAACATTGTAGTGGTAGATCTGTGTGTATTTTATTATTTTCTTCAAAATTCTTATTAATTGAAATCTTCTTTCAGGGGGGAGATATCACCAAACATGATGGAACAGGAGGACGATCTATCTATGGAGATAAATTTGAAGATGAAAATTTTGATGTGAAACATACTGGTCCTGGCTTACTATCAATGGCCAATCGAGGCCGGGATACCAATAATTCTCAGTTTTTTATAACACTGAAAAAAGCAGAACATTTGGACTTTAAGCATGTAGTATTTGGGTTTGTTAAGGATGGCATGGATACTGTGAAAAAGATTGAATCATTTGGCTCTCCTAAAGGGTCTGTTAGTCGAAGAATTAGTATCACAGAATGTGGACAGATATAAAATCATTGTTTTTTCTAGTAAATTTTACCTGTATAAACAGTTGAATTGAAGCTTAGCTGTTGTGACAATATGGTAATAATTATGTTCAGCTTTTGAAAATGGACGTTTCCAATGTATAAATGTACAATTGCAGCTTATAGCTGTTGTCACTTTTTAATGTGTTATAATTGACCTTGCATGGTGTGAAATAAAAGTTTAAACACTGGTGTAAATCAGGTGTACTTGTGTTTATGTACTCCTGACATATCTGTATTAAAATGGAATAATACTAATCTTGTTAAAAGCAATAGACCTTCTCAAACTATTGAAGGAATATGATATATGCAATTTAATTTTACCTTTTAAGATACTGGATTCCTGCATGGATAAATTTACCATTTGAAAAAAGGGACCACAACTTGGATAATTTTTATTTTAGATTTGAAATATATTTGGTAATTTTAAATATTGGTGTGCTCATTTATGCATAGAGACTCACTTATGAATGGGTAGAGCCACAGAGGGTAGAGACTTAACCAAAGTGCTCTTCTATAATCCTTGCACCTCCTGTATAGTTAAATTAACTTTTAAGTAGAGTACCTTCTTTTCTTAAATGGTATGTAGTTTCCTGTGCCCTTTCAAAGGTATTAAATTAATTTTTACATTTTAAACAAGTATTTCCTTAGGTTTTTTTTTTGTTTTTGTTTTTTAACTTCTCTGTCATCTGTTTCTACTACCTCAAACTGCAGCTTGGTTCTGATAGAACTTGAATTTTTCCTTGCAGTTGTTGTGATAAAGTATGACTATTTTAAAAAGGTCTATACCATGTTCTTTGGTTAAAGATTTGCTTTATACTAGATTGTTGCAGTACCTTTTTCTGGTGAATTTTGTAGCAAAAATAAAGTGACAATTGTTAACAGCCATGACATTTAAAAAACTTATTACTTGTGCATCTAGTTGTTTGTTCATCCTAGAGCCAAAGTAAAGAGGACAATTAAAGTTCTGTATATCAGACTACCACGTAATTTCCAAGGCTCCCAAGAAAGTGACTTCTTTTCAAGTTTGATACATACACACTAAAAATTTATTTGGAAATGATTAGTATCAAAAGTTAGGCAAACTGCTAAAAAGGTGGTGGAGGGGGTTTGTGAGGGGGAGATGTTCTTATCAGCCTACTCAATATACAACTAAAGAATCTAGAGCACAAAATATTGTGTATTCTGATTACCAACAGTGACTGCCTTCTACCCTCCTGTGTTCTTCCTAGTGAAATCATGTCTTTTTTTTTTTTTTTTTTTTTTTTTTTAGTGAAAGACAGTGGCATTTATTCTGTTTGGGGATTTGGAAATAGGTTATCATATAATACTGGTTCAGCCACCAGACAGGAGGGGAGGGATATCATGTGTCTGTTGTGTGTGAGTAATGAATGATGGAAATGAATGATGGGGCATTAAATGACAAAGACTTTGTGTCACATTTCAGGAGAGGACTTTGTGATTTCTGTTACTTAATTGCTAATGTAGTATAAATCCACGACATGTACCCCCCCCCAAAACTGGCTTGACTTTATATTATATTGTCTCATTAGAAATCTGTTTAAAACAGAGTATAAAAAAATTATTTGTACATTGTAATATTTGATGGCAAAGAGTATTGGTATAAATGATTTTCAGGTAACTACTTTTTAAAATGATCTTCTAAACCTTTGGCATTTGAAGAACTTGAAAGATACTCCAGAGAATCTAGGATTTGTTAGTCCAGACATGCTGTTGAACATTCACAATTTAGAAAAGTAAAGGATCACACTAGTGTAATTGTATAAATGAGAAAAATTAGGTGGTTATTCAGTTATTCCTTTCAATTAGTCTCGGTTTAATAGAGGATTTGGGTTGGTATACCATCCCAATACATATTGAGCATGTACAAATGCCTGGCCCTGTTCTGGGTATTAGGAAAAGCTGTTTAAAAAAAAAAAAAAAAAAAAGCACATGTTCTTACATTCATTACATTGATACAGGGAATTCACATTCTAATACTGCTTTTTTTTTTTTTAAGATTTTATTTATTTATTTGACAGAGATCAGAAGTAGGCAGAGAGGCAGGCAGAGAGAGAAGGAAGCAGGCCCCGGGCTGAGCAGAGCCTGATGTGGGGTTTGATCTAAGGACCCTGGGATCGTGACCTGAGCCAAGGCCGAGGCTTAATTCGCTGAGCCATCCAGGCACCCCCTCTAATACTGCTTTTAAAGATACATATGGAACCGAGGCCAATGGCAGGGCAAGTAAGGGAGTAATCCTTTTTAAAGAATTCTATGCTTTGCAGTACGATGTATTCTTGATTTTTGCCTTTTTACAGTTAGCAAAGGCCATCCTGATGAAAGAACACTACTTTTCGTTTGTCCAAACGCACCCTAAATATACGTAAACTATATTAGAGCCAAGAGAGGGTTGCCACAAAGTCAGATTTGGACCGTCCTGGTGACCACGTCGTCTGTGGATGTAGCGTGTACGCATTCCCACATGCACGCAAGGCGCACAGGTTGCGGAGCAAGTGGTGGCTTCCCGAGAAGCCGTGGGGGTGCCTGAGGCTAAGGCTGAGCGCCCTCTGTGAGGGGCCACACCTGCTAAAGTGTAACTGCTGTGGACCGCCGGACTTGTTCGGTAGCAAGTAGCAAAAAATTGGAGTGAAAGATAAAATGCCACTTATCAGCCCAGTTAACACAGGAGTAAAGGAATTGGTCGTTAAATCATTCAGCAGGAAAAACGTTTATAACACCAGGACATTTTTAACGTAGTATAGAGAGTGAGAGAGGGACTCCAGTTTGCACTCCTCTCTCTCGCCTCCGGCTCCGGGCTCAACTTCTGTGGCTGGCCACGCCCGCCGCCGCCCAGTCTCCTCTGGCCACGCCCGCCGCCGCCCAGTTAGGCTGGGCCTCCTCGCGTTTCCGCGTCGCTCCCGACCATCCCCCCACCCCCCAGGGGCGGGGCGCAGCGTGCGTCACGTCGCCGTTCCGTTGCGCGAGCTCCGCCCCTGCGCGCCCCGCAGCTCTGTGTTTGAAAGCTGTTCCCGGGGAGACAACGGCGAGCTCGGCGCGCTATGGAACCGAGGCTAGTGAAGCCGCCCGGGCAGGATTTGGTAGTGGAGCGTCTCAAAAGCCGCTACGGACTAGGGGGCAGCCGCTTCGCCGAGGTGAGGCCTAGCCCTTCACCTCGACCCTTCCCTGTGCCCGCGGGCCGGTTCCGGCAGGTGTGAAGCATCCCTTCGGCGCCTCACCCGAAGCCTCGGGGCCGAGGTGCCGAAGGAGGGTTCCCGGGCGGGGGAGTGACTCTCCGGGCCTCGAGCCGCTCTGCCGGAAACAGGGTTAGCGAAAGGAGGCGGGAGGAGCAGAAGTCTTTTGTGGCCGCAGATGCTCCCGATGTGGGAAAAACAGATTTTCTACCAGAAAAATTCCTTCACCATAAACTCTTGAAGGTTTATGATGTATCAGACATGGTGGTATGGCACGTTAATTTACAAGTGACTGGTGTGGAGTTCAAAAGCAATTTTAATTCCTTTAAAACCCTTCCTATTTGGAAATAATTCCAAACTTAAAGTTGCAGGAATAATGCAAAGAACTCTTTTGGACACTTCGTTTGGATTCACCAGTTAACATTTTGCCACATTTGCGTTACTATTATCTTCCTAGTTTTGACTTTACGTACACCCCTTTTCCCGCTGAACTCTTGAAGGGTAGCTTGCAGGCACTGTGGTACTTTCACCCCCAAATATGAATATTTTAGTATATTTTCTAGGAATAAGGATATTCTCATATATCCACGGTAATAAATTAAGGAGACTTACCATTTACACAGTAATATGTAATATAGAGTGTGTGTTCAAATTTCACCAATTATCTCAATAATGCCTTTTGTAAAACTTTCCCCCGGTGCAGATACAGTTCACAAATGAGCATTGCATTTAGTTTTCTGTTGCCTTTATTCTGGAACAGGTTCTTAAGTCTTTGCCTTTCATAATGTTGATATTTTTGAAGAGTATAGGACAACTGAGTTTCTCTGAATACACCTCATGACTAGATAGATAACGGCTTTATGCATTTTTGGCAGGAGTGATGTACGCGTTGCTCCTGTTGCTCCTGTGATGTTGCTTTGTCCCATTATTGGTGATAAAAATTTTGACCACTTGGTTAAGGTAGTGTCTTACCAGTTTGTCCACTCTAACCTTTGTTATCCCTTGTACTTAATACATAATTTGTGGGGAACTCTTTTGAGACTGTAAATTGATTCTTAATATATAAATTAAATATGTCTTTTTTCTTTTAAGTATGATTTTTCAAGTTTTGATGAGGCTAAATGGAAGAGAAGATCTCTAACCTCCCCAGGTAAGCTGATGGAGTATTTTTTTATATTTGGGAGTTTTAACATTTAATCTGAGAGAAAACAGTAATCAAGATTTTGGGGGTTTAAATGTGTAAGATGTCTTTAAAATCGAATGAATTCTTTTTGGTGTTTCAGTTACAGCATTTTTGCCTTTAAAATTGTTAAAAAAAATAGTGTATTAGGTAAAGAAAACTAATTGCTATTTTTTAAAAGCATAAATTTTTCCAAGTTACAGGCGTAATAATTGTTGCACTGGAAGAACTTATCAAATGTACTTGATAAAGATAATTATACTGTGAGATTGGGTCAATTGGAACATTATGTGGTCATCTGGAACTAACATATATAGCTAATTAACCATTAGTCTTGATTTGCTGATACTTCTTCAGTGATGTTTTTACTAGTAAGTATAATCATTGAATTTTGAGATGATAGCAGAAACAGTATCTTTAAAAGTTTATCAGATGGTAGATTAGAGAATTTCCTTTTTTTTCAAGTTTATTTCATTTTTGAAATTTTGTAAACACTCTTCTGAAACATTCCTTCAATATGAAAAAAAACCCCAGTTATTACTGAGTCTGGTATCTTAAAAATATCTTAAAATTGTATTTTAGTTTTGAAATTTGCCCTACAATTTCCAGCTTTTTTTTTTTTTTAAAGATTTTATTTATTTATTTGACAGAGATCACATGTAGGCAGAGAGGCAGGCAGAGAGAGAGGAGGAAGCAGGCCCCCTGCTGAGCAGAGAGCCCGAGGACCCTGGGATCATGACCTGAGCTGAAGGCTTTAGCCCAGTGAGCCACCCAGGTGCCCCAAATTTCCAGCTTTTTAAAATATAACTAAAGGGGCGCATGGGTGGCTCAGTTGTTAAATGTCTGCCTTCAGCTCACTTTATCATCCCAGGGTCCAGGGATTGAGCCCCGCATGAGGCTCCCTGCTCTGGGAGAAGCCTGCTTCTCCCTCCCCCAACCCCCCTGCTTGTGTTCTCTCTCTCACTGTCTCTTTGTCAAATAAATAAATAAAATCTTTGAAAAGAATAAAATATATAACTAAAAAGTATAGCTCATTTAGTTTCTGATGGGGAAAAATGCATGTTAGACAAGGGTGCATAGATTTCAATGACATGGATGGAACTATAGCATAAGCTAAGTGCTAAGTGCAATAAGTCAGAAAAAGACAAATACCATAGGATTTCACCCATAGGTGGAATTTAAGAAACAAAACAGATGAACATAGGAGAAATAAAGGAAAAAATAAGATAAAAACAGAGAGGGAGGCAAACCACAAGAGACTCTTAACTATAGGGAACAAATTGAGTATTGCTGGAGGAGAGGAGGGTGGGGGAAGAGGTAATTGGATAATGGGCATTAAGGTGGGCTCTTAGGTAATGAGCACTGAGTGTTATACACAACTGATGAATCACTAAATTCTCCCTCTGGAACTGTTAAAAAAATAAGATGATTCCAAAAAATTTTTTTAAATTTCTAAATTTCTTATCAGAGAAGCTCTTTTGCCTTTTACTCAGTTTAGATAGAGGCTAATAGTCTGTTAAATGTTTAGTGTTTAG